TTTTTTTCACTACGTACCCTGTCCAGTACATAGGCGGCTAATAATAAAAAAATAAAATAAAGAAGGTGCACCGTGACCGTGGTTGACGGCCGATCCTCATAGTACACCGTGATGCTAGTAGTTGTGCTTCGTAGTTCACCATGGTCATACTCATACACTAGTTATGTACATAGTCAATTACTAGCCAAACTATTCACTGGATACAAACTTCCCGCCCGATTCCAAACCCCATCACTCACGCGAATAACAACACTCACATCCACCGCCCTCGTCTCCCGAATACAACAAGCCAGGCACGTTCTTCCCACACGACCAATTACCGCATTGCTCCCTGTCAACGCGCACCAGGCGCGTGCGAACGTTTCCTGTGTCGCGCTTCCCCGTGCGTCTATTACGAGGATTTCGCCGCCGGGCACGACTTTGTGTAGCGAGGTAGCGCCGATGAGGGCGCTGGTGGGGACGAGGAGGTATTCGGAGGAGGCGTGGAGGGGGTGGCCGGGGAGGTGTGAGGGTTCGTGATCGTTGTCGCTGTTAGAGGCCTTTCCAGCTGGGGGGCGGCAGTTGTAGGATGTGATAAAGTAGACGTTGTTTGTCAGGGGGACTGATTCTTTTGTCGATTGGCAGTCGGGTGAGTTGGATTGCACGTTAAACGAGATGGTTGGCGTGCCTACGCCTGCGTCATTTGGCCCGGATTCGGATTCGCTAACGAAGAACAGCATGTCTAGGTCAAAAGATACCAGCTCTTCTCGCGGATGGTCAACCGGCAACGAAAATGCCTCTCGCGAAACATCGCCATCGCCCAGCGGCGTCGAGAAATGCGATATCTTATTCCCCTGCTGGATTCGCGGCTTCTTGTTCGTCGGTGGTAGTTCCTTGATTCTCGCCTCGAACCATCCCCCGTCTAATGGCTGCGACGTCGACCGGTCAACAGGCAGGACATCGCTTCTGATCCAGCCCATGCACTCTTTGGTCTCTGGTAGACTGGCCAGCACGCGCCCGACGATACACTGCTTGCTCCACCAGCTTCGTCCGTGATACGAGAATCCGCCATAAAGATTGGCCACGGGACCCAGCGTGGATAATGCCTCTGGATCGTTCTCCAGAACTGTGGCGAGAAGAAGGTGACTGATGCTTTCCCCGGGCGGTACGAAGCCTGAGAGCCAGCTGCGGGTTATCCAGCCGATGTTGTCTTTCGGATCGTTGGTGTCCTGGCTGTCGATGTTATGAAGAAGGATCTGGCGACGAGAAGGATTCCGGCTGTACATCTCATCCTTTCCAAGTGTGGATGTTGCTGCGCTGCATACTGGACGGTTGTATACGTCTTCGTTGATCTTGGAGGGAAGCTGCTTCAAGGCATCTAGTCGAGGCCAGCCGATATTTTCTGCAAACACGAACAGCCCGTGTAGCTGCTGCTCGATATGGAACGGCGTCAATTTGCATTCCCAGGCCGACTCGGCTTCCGAAGCACTCTTTACCGATGACCGACGATGAATGGTGAAAGCATCTCTTAGAGATCGACGTCTTCCATGCAGACCTTCTTCGCTGTGAGTTGAGGTCTGGTTATCGCAACGACTGATCCCCAAACTGTCGAGAAATCGTCGCACAACAATCAAGTCCCAGTTTACCTTTCCATCGCGAAGCTTGTCAAACTCGTGGATATCAATCGCAGTGATGTTCTCGTCCGGATCCCTCAAGGTCCCTGCGCGCGAAACAGCATCCAGTCGAAGAAGTAATTCGCTGGCCAAGAGCATCTGGATGAGAAGCCACTTTCGTTCGAGACCAGGATTAACCCATGGCCGCTTTTGTGCGTCTTCGCATTCCTCCGAATCGAGACAATCTCCCTCCCGATGGGGCGGCATCTCCCAGAGAATCTGACCGGCATGGAGTCGCCACTCCTCCAGACTAAAGTTAATCCACGCCCCAGGCGCCGCCAGAGCAGTGGTAAGCATTCGAATCTGCGACTTGAGACTATGCGGATCGTCCTCTTCTACCATCGACCGGCGCGGAGGAAGCAGGAACCTCGAGTACAAGTCTCGATACAAGACCTCCAAAGTCTCCATATCCAATATCGTCTTATCCACCTCCGCATGTAACATATCGTGGCGAATTTCCCGCAGCGTCTCGAGACGTTCGATCAGTTTCTCCATGCTCGGGTCTCGCACGCCGATGCGCTTCCATGCTGACGGTCCGTCGAGAAGCATCGCTTTGCGGTCGTGTACCGTCCCATCCAGACACTGCGCATACGGATCGTTGGAATGATGCCCCATCGAGTCAAAGGCCTCGATGGTTGAGGTTGTCATGGAGAGTCTCCGCAGTCCAGGACGTGGCCTGGGAATCTCCGGGCCTGTATACCGAACCTGATCTGCGACGGGGAGCTCCAGGAAATGGCGAAACCCAAACGACCCGGGCTCTTTTGCGGTTGAGCACAGCATATTGGGTACCTCGTATACGCTTATGTCGAAGGTCGGCCGCCTGGGTCCGCCCGTATGTTGTAACCCTTGTAAAGGAGCCGGGGTGTCGCCTTTAACCACATAGCCATCGGGTACCGGCAGATGAGCATGTAGTGTAGATAGACTGAAGGAGGAATGCAAAAGCGGTCTTCGGTCCCAGAAATTCTGGATTAAGAGATCGTGATCACACCAGGGAAAGATAACCTGCGGTTGCCACAGACCGAACGAGCCTTCGTCGAGGAGGAAATAGGGTGCTCCGACGAATAGTGCGTGGATGTCCTCTCTCGAGAGTTGTGTCGTATTGTTCCGGTTTGATTTCCGGCGATGTTCGGGGCCTGCCTGGGGCTTTGCATGGGACGGCGAGGCCATTTTTTGTAGTTTCAAGATGTAGGAAGAAGTCGGGATATTCGTACTTTTAGGCTGTGAAACCGTTATGCAGGAGAATCCCCGGAAAGAGAATCGCAAGACAGGGAGGCTCGAGGGTCGTTCGCCTCTTGGAATAATGATGCAACATGAGGACATTTGCCTTCGTACCCGGTTACTTACCTGCTTGTCGCCCTCCTTGTCAAGTGACCCCCTGTCTATCCGGTTTTTGATATGCGCACATCTTGCTGCAGCACTTGCGGCCCGTTGAATGTCAAGCAAGAATTATGCCAAAACATCAGAGCCAGAATACTACATGCAAAAGAACATCGGTCATGACGTCAGCCGGTACACATTTCCGCATACGGTATACCTCGGCATGACAATGCCTACCTGGATCACTATACATGTATGGATTGTTAAAAGTCATTATTCATTTTTATACTACATGGCACGGTTTAGGCGTGCTTGTGGAAGAAGTCAAGCACGGTCTTGTAGCCACGCTCGTACTCCTTGCGCACCTCGGCATCCTCCAAGTTCGAACGAGCAGCCATCCAGCCGTGGATCTGAGTGGGGAAAGTCTCGACGTGGTTAGGCGTCTTGAGGTTGGTCTTGAACGCCTCAATGTCGTTCGGGGGCTCATCCTTGGAGGCCAAGAGAGCCATGGGGACGTTCACGGCCTTGGCGTCGTTGGGGTCAACCATGGCGGGGTGGCACTGGACAGCAGACTTGAAGAGCTTGTTGTCCTGGCCGGAGGAGAGAGCGGTGATCTTACCACCCCAGCAGTAGCCCAGGATGGACCAGTCGAAGCTGCCGCTGGAAGAGAGCTTGTTGGCCTCGGACACGACGTTGGGGATCTTGGAGAGGGTGTTGGGGGGAGCGGCCTTGGTCTGGAAGAAGTTGCCAAGCTTCTGCTTGTGGTCATTGGTCTGAGGAGGGAACCAGGTGATGTCGGCGGGCTGGCCCTCGAAGAAGTCGGGAATGAAGACACGGTACTTTTGCTCGTTGGAGTTGGCCAGGATGTCGGCTCCTTGGATGGTCTGGGGGAAGAAACCGAAGATGTCTGATTCTTAGCATTCGCTTTTCATGGAAGAATGTGTAGACCTACCGTAGATGACGAGGATGGCCTTGGAGGCGGACTCAGGACCGGTAACGTCTACTCAATTAGCTCTGGTCATCATACCCCAGGTATATGCCTCTTACACGTCTTCAAGCCATTGATAGTCTTGTATTCACCCTTGCCCTGGTATCCCTGGGCGACAATAGGGGGGATCTGGCAGCAAGCCTTGCTAACACCGGACATGGCGGAAGAGCAATGAATCGGACGAACACAGAGGAACGGCTTGAATGTAGGACGAGCGGTAATGGGCGCGAAAGTCTTGCGCAGAGGGGTTGTTAGAAGCTGCCTGTATCTCATAAGTGAATGCATAGTTTCAATGGCTGAAGAGAGACGCACTGTATTCAATTGACCAGATGAGTTGTAGTGAAAGAGAGAGGAGAGAGAGAGAAGAATGAGGAAGTTAAAGAGGATATTTAGGAAACCCCGCGGCGACGTCATCGGAGATACATTCGGCAGTGCATTACCGAGCATAGTAGCATAGTAGCATAGAAAAAACCGAGAAAGTACGGAGTACTAAGGGTATAGAAAAGTGTGTACAAGTACAAGTACTGTAGGATACAAGTAGAGAGAGAAGGCATGTATCCGGGCCAGAGACGAGTACAGTCAATGCACAATATACATAACTGCACCAACATATTGCACCAGCATATTGCACCAGCATACAGAGTACTCTTGGCCATACTAACTGGATATATCATGGCATGACCCGGTCAAAGACTCGACTGATCACATCAACAAGGTTTGTTTGCTCTTTATCTCCCCGGCCAATCCTAACAGCACCCATGCTCGTATTCTTTATTTGAATGCCCGGTGCACTAACACATACGCACTCTCGGACTTCCCTCCATGCAAGGAGCCCTCCTTTTATTTCCTTTCTTTCCCATTTCGAGGTGTCTCTCTTTGTAGATCAAGAACCAGATCGCCTCTGGATCGACAATTGACATCTGTCTGTGGTCTCTCGGGGCGCGCCGGACGCTGTATATATTCCAGGGACCCCAATTGTCCGGTCTGCATTTCTTTCTTTTTTGATTAAATGTCATATTGCTTTTAATCTTTATCAGACTTTATCGCTCCATCCCCTCTTATTTGGACTTCCTTCCGTCTGTGTTGGGCTCCGACATGCCTGGATGACCTCCATTCCACACTCATTATCAGAACAACTGTCCATAACACGTCGTTTTTCGCAATCCTTTCAAGCAATTAATCCAGCATGACCACTCTCGATGCCCTGACTACCCAGTCACTCCCTCCGAATGCTTTTTCTTCTTATCCATCGCAGACTCTGGCCGCGACTTCGCATCCCGCCAGCCATTTCGTGTCTCCCGTATCGACATCCCCGAACACCACCACTGCAGCATCATACTGGACCGGAGCGCCGGCGCAATCCTCGTGGCCAGTCAACAATAATACCCATGAATATCTTCAAGATGCGTGGAATTTATACCAAGCACCGAATCCCAATCCGATCACCGACTCGACCGTGAACTCCAATCTCGCCATCTCTCAGCCGTACGAGATCCCGTCGCTCGTGCCGTCTTTCTCCGCCGCCCAACCGCAGCAACCACTCTCAGCTGAAAATTCATTACCCTCCTCTTCCTCCTCGTCCTCCTCCTTCTCCTCGTCCGTGTCCTCGCCCGCCTCCATGAATTCCCTCGTTTACCCCCCTCGACAACCATGGCCCTCCTATTCCCTCCCGGCCATGAACGGCCCCGTCCGGACCAACATCCACAATCCAGGCGGCCATATGGCCGTTTTGGGCAATATGCCCTCAGCTGCCGGTATACTTCCCGGGTTCAACAGTGGTCACATCGCGAGAATGTACCAAGGGCCTACGTCGTCATCGCCACATCTTCCAGGCTCGGGATCGGGCTTGGGCGGGCCGACCCAGGATCGACCGTTTAAGTGCGATCAATGCCCACAGAGCTTTAATCGGAACCACGATCTCAAGCGACATAAGCGAATCCATCTCTCTGTTAAACCGTTTCCGTGTACGCATTGCGATAAGAGTTTTTCGCGCAAGGATGCATTAAAGGTGTGCTTGTCTACTTCCGATCAAGAAAATGGATAAAAGCTAACGTTTGTAGCGCCACCTTCTAGTCAAAGGATGCGGTAAAGACGGTCCAGTTGTCAAACGGGAACACGAATAATGTATAGTCGGCTTCATTCTTTTTTATTGGCGTTGATTGGTTACATTGGGGTTACGCGGAGGCATTCTCGGGTTTTTCTTACGGCTTGCTTTGTACAGAGTACATGGGTGGTTATAGTCTTTCGTTTATAGAATGGGGTTATGTAGTTATTGCATGATAGTACCAGTGATTTATGTTATGCTTGATTGCCATTGAAGTCTACTGTAAACCATTGACGAAGCCTCGTTTCGAGGCAATCTCGTCATGACTCGCCATTGTATCTGTTCCTGGTACCCCAGACTACGAGTCAGTGTCAGCATATCAGTCAGAAATCTGCAAGGGATACAATAATACTCCGTCCGATAAGACACGTACGCATGAGAGAGCGCAATAAACCCGATGCAGGAGCATTAAGAAATGATAGCGCAAGATTGTCAGGCTAAATACAGAAATAGACACCAAGGCATGACAAATATCAGATCCGGAAAGCCCTAGAAGTAGGTCCAGGAACATCAGGCCCAGGACACCTCGACCGCTTTACGTGAGTACAGCTGTCTGCAGATGGAGATCGGGACCATAAGTGATGCAGCAAATATGAATGCAAGAGTGAGACCGCACCAACCAAACAGAATGTAAATCACCATTTTAGGGGTTATGCGTAGTAAGGAAAAGATTGCAATAGACACGATTGCTGTAATAGGACAAGATGCGAAATAGACAGTCCGCAAAATTCGGTAAGGCTTTCCGGGGTCAATTGCAAGCCTGACAAATGATAGAGGGTGCCGCTCCGTTAACTGTTTTGGCTCGAGACCGTCCAGTATTCTACATAAGGGAATCAAGATCAAACAAAGAAGGAAACCGAACGACAAAGGTATCAGATAGATAGCAAGATCAAGACCACTCAGGGTGCCACTAGACTGTCCGTTCCCCGTGAAGAGAAAGCATGCCATTCCAACCATTGTGGCCATGGCAAACAGCATGTTGTCCAGATACCATGGTTCGCTCTGGAACACTCTTTGGCAAAGGTCTAAAGTTCGAATGAAAAGTGGTTTGGCTGAGCTCTGCATGGGTAACGGCAGTCCGGGTATGACAATGGTTTGAGACGGTACAATGCTGTTTTGACCTGCCCGATCATATCGCGGGTCTTGAAAGGCACTATCAGAGCTCACGGAACTCAACTCAAAGTGCTCTTGACTGGTAGTCTGTGGCGTGAGACTGGTGTAGCTGGCATCATTAGCATTAGATTTGGTGCTGCTCTTATGGGCTATGTCTAAAGCGAAGAATTAGCATTGAACACAGCAGTAATTTTATATTTGAGACTTGCCAGAGCACCCCTCGGCGATGAGCAGAAGAGGGACCAGCAACATCATAACTGGCACTAGCTGACCAAAACTCCAAGTATCTTCCTCGGTCCAGCTAGGATCAGTTTTGCGTAAGTAGAATAACCGAAGACTTCCCCAGATCAATGAAAGTAGTAGCCACCATAGCTATTTGCCAGTTAGGGCATTCAAGGGCCGATCTAGTATGATCTGACTTACCCCAAATATCCGAGAGCGCACAAAATCGAGTATAGATTGCACAGAGAGAGACGCAGCCAGGGCAAGAGTCACGAGCGATAAAGAAACGGCTTGGACACAGCGACACGATCTTTGAGACTTCCCACAGCACCAAACCAGAGCTGTCCGCCATCGTACTAAGCTCCCCGCTAAAAAAGCACTGAAAATTTTCTTAGACCCCGGGAACATCTGTACGACTCGTACGATAAACCCACCGATGAGCATGATTTCAGAGATTAGCATAGTACAACTTTCTTGCCAGTTGAAGCTATAGTTATGAATATCAAAGATGCAGCGAGCAGGCGCCTGCGCGATATATCCGAAGGTACCAATAAACCGAGAATCTCCAGTGGAAGCAATCCCTACCGCGAGCATAACGACCAGTCCAGCCATAAGGATTAGTCTGGCGTACCAGATGTATCGGTGTTTCTGAAAGTATTGCTCCAAGCACATTAGTGTTGCAATGTGTGTGATCGAAGAAAACCAAACAAGCTTTGTTATTAGCTGCCAATGATAGATCGACAGCCCATACTGAATCTGAAAATAGCCACTGATGATGAATGCAAGTCCGGTCACTAGCAGTTGGTCACTCATTGCTAGTACAACCTGAGCCAAACGCCATTAGTGATTTGCGATAGACATAGCCTGTCGCTGAATCAGTCATCTATACGTACAGTCTCCGAAACCGAAGCCCATTCATATGGTGGCACTTTCCTGAGAATCTTCTGTATGGCTTTGTGTATTGATATGTCCAGCATATTGTTCGATTCTTGTCGCGTAACCACGTAGTGGAAGACCATAGCAATGAGGCTTGCCCAAGCTGTAGCGACAAAACCTATCACAACCTTGAGAACCATCAAAAACCTGTGAGATTGGCTTTTATTCAAACAGATAACTCACTCCAATCCCGGAGATATCAGGATTTGGCTCTAATTCGAGGAGGTTTATTGCCGTGCCATTTGAACAATCAGGGAGATCGGAGAGATTGTAACCCATGACTATAGTTTCAACCCCTCTCATGGGAATAGCATCGATGGTTTGTTTTGCGTGGATCTCAACCGAGCGAGGAGGTTGTTGTATTTGCGCCGGATCCGACAAGGCTGAGGCTGAGGAGAGCACAGCCTTGCCTGTGAGTTTCAACATCCATTGCTCAAACCACAGAGCCAATGGTAACGCCCCCAAAAGCGCTACGCTAAGACTTTCGTAAGCATTCCGATGCCGATCGTTCGGGGCTGGTTCTGGGGTAAGATGTAACATATTGAGTAGCGCGAGAATCGCTGATAGCAATACCTCTCGCATATTGAAGACAGAGACAGGAAAGAGGAGGACACTTTCCCAAAGTGGAAGGCTCTACCACGTGGCCAATCTCGAAAGCACTTCTTTCTATATATACATAATACAAGTAACTCCATCCCGAGGGATGGTTAAGCTTACTCTCCATGATCAGCCATGTGGAAATAAAATAATTGTGAAAGTGTACGCCATGTCCGATATCGATCCGATACATCAACTGGAGCTATCAAATCCACGCGAGTCATATCCACTGCTCTGCGTAAACGAATCGAACGCTTAATTAAAATTATGCTATGCTAACGGAGTGCTCCGACTATACGGATAGGGTATCATTTTTTCTCTTCCATTCGTCCACCAATCCCCGGTAATCCTCCACACCATACGGGGCAAAACACTGGGCCAAAGCGCCTCCCTTACGGTTCGTTTCCAGACCCAAGTCCCGGAGGAGCATGTCCACATATGGCAGCGCGTCGAAGACAAAGTCCGGATTGCGGCGTCCGAAACCGCCGGGGTAGCGGTATTTGCCGAATTCGCTGTGCAGAGCTGTCTCCCAGATGAGATCGGGATTGGGATCTCGCTCCTCGTCCTGGTCCGGGACGTTCTCTTTGGCGATTGGCTCCTTGGACTCGGAGACCTTGGCTGAGGCCAGCAGTCCGCGCACGTCTGGTGGACACGAAACAGTTGGGTTCACGTCGAGTTTGCCGTCAAAGTAAGCTGCGATCCAGAGGGCTTGGGCTTGCGCGATCATAGTTGTGTTGATGGTCATGGTCACACCCATAAAGGCGACGGAGCGCTCATGCATCAACGACGGAGGCACGATGAAGCGCGTCAGACGGAATGGATGGGTTGCTGTCGCTGGCGCATCGTCCGACAGTGGACGATACTGCGGGTTGGGTGTGGGCTGGTTCCGCAGCTTGGGGAACTGTTTCAGAATCTCTTCATCGGCTCTGCGCACGAGCGCCTCGTCCATCGAGTCCTCGCTCCATGGAAAGCCCAAGTCCCGGTCGATCCCTTCCGGCAAGAATTGCATGTTGGGTGTTGCCTTCCAGCCCGTTGCGCAGATAAGCGCCGTGATCTCGTCCAGCACGGTGCCGTTGGCCAGCTGTACCGAGTTGCGCGACAGATGATCAATATCGGCGACATGAATGCGCACCTTGCCGTCGCGCACCAGATCAAAGAAGTTAGTCGGGTAGTTAAGGATACTCAGTGACGAAGCGATCCAGAACGGACTGATCCACGGCTTCAGCTTCTTCACTTCGGGATGCTCATCGTAGCCGTTGAGCTGCACGACATCGTTCGCCAAGGTGGACCAGAACGAGTCAACCATCTTGCGCCCTAGCCAGGTACCGTGCAGGAATGACCGCACACCATTGAAGCCATCTGCGTCGCCCCAGATGCACGGGCTGAACCACGTCAAAAACCGCGTGGTCACGAGCTTCTCCAGCCACTTCTTCAGCGGCGTCACATACGGCGGCGCCATCCAGTTAGGTCCATGGCCGGACTCGCGAATCACCCAGTCGACCTGCATCCCCGACGTCGCGCAGGCATACACAGCATCCCAGGCGGACTTGGTGCCTCCGAAAACCGCCGCCTTCTTTCCAGACTGCAGCACCTCCGATTCATGCTCGAGTAGGTCGCGACAGTGGAACAAAGGTGCGCCAAAGTCATCCTGTCCCTGAAAGCTGGGCAGATATGCCTGCGACGTGATACCCGTTGCCACAATCAACTTCCTGGCCACTAATATTGTCTGTTCCGTGTTGTTATCCTTCTGCGACGCTGTGGTCAACAGCCATGTCCCATCTGGACGGTGCTCGGCGCTGCGCACGTACGTCTCGAGGCGAATGCGATCGGTGAAGCCAGAGTGCTCGGCGTACTTCTCCATGTACGTCTGGATGACATGGCCGGGGATGTGTTCGCCGGGTTTGACGCCAAAGGCCTCTTCCGTCATGGGGAAATCGCTGAATTCGTAGGTGCCCAGCATGTTGTTGGACTTGAGGCCTTTGTACAGCCGGTGCTTGGCCCAGACGCCACCGACGGACGACGCGGACTCGAGGAGGAGGACATTGCTGGATGGGTTGACGTTGCGATAGGTTTTGATAGCCGCAAGACCACTCCAGCCTGTATCCGTCAGTATGCTCAAAGTGATAAGAGGCGAAGACAATGAGTGCTTACCGGCGCCGACGACGACCAGATCAACTGTTTCCATGGTACCGAATATCAAGTATACAATGCTCGGAGCATAACTCGATGCATGCCAATATGTTCTGCTTCTTCAGGAGAAGACAGAAATGAGCGGAAATCCCTGGTTTTATTTTTACATGGCCGTTATTCCCCATGATTCCGCACATCCTGATTATGAAATGGACTAATGGAAATCCGGAAGTACAAAGTACCCATTGTGGTCAGACAATATGAATTCTCATGACAGGCGAGCAAACGGCCCGGGGAATAAGAGCCGTCTGGGCGGGATAAAGTTCGACGGCGCATTCTCCTTTCTTTCTGATTTGGCGAGGATGTATTTCCGGCGAGTCGAGTCAGTAACGGCCAGTGGGTCTGTTGGTCCTTTTATGCTAGTAGTTCCCCGTTGAGTCGCTGGTGCCCGGATGCTCTCCGCGAGAGATGTATCTGTGGCATAAGCATTTTCTGTGCTGAATGAAATACCATAGGAACGGTGACATGTACGGGGTATGTACATACAAGTAGATTAGCAACGTCAAAGTCAAAATGCACCCGAAATCCAGTCCCGCTGTCAAACCGCCGACTGCCGACCTCTAATAAGAAGGCGTTTCAGACTTGACAAGAATAGCACTCTGTAATATTGGAAGGGGAACGTCCTTAGCACTGCCGGGACCAGTACCGGAAAACACCCGTTCCCTTGCTTCCTCTTCTACCCTCCATGTTGGGCCCGATACTAGTCAGTTCATGGAACTACAAAAATTTTTTCATACCTGTCAGACCTCTTTGTGACCCATTCATCCAGTGGCTGCTGTTCATACCAACGCCGATCGATATACGACGCTCCAATGCCAGAATGGTGAGTCCGTCGGATGAGATTCCAGCCTGATGATCGTTTCGTTCTGTCTACTTGTACTCCATAGTATCGCTCGGCATACTCTTTCTAAGTTTGGCTTAACTTCTGTCATCCGGTGGCGTGGGTCTGGACATAGTACTACTCCGTGTACCAAGCACTCTATGAGAATAATGCACCTGGGCTAGCGAAAAAAATAAAAATAAAAATAAAAGATGAAAAAGCAGACATGCTTGCTTATTCCTTGCCCCGCGTCCTCCCTGATATGGCCACCCACCGGATAATGCGGAATATCGGGAGGTGAGAGAGATGCAAATGAAGATGCACAGACATCTCGGCCAACAAGGCCACCGGTTCATCATCCGGCTCTGCTCCCGGGACTCTGGACTTTGTGATTGCTCCCGTGGGCTATCAGAAATTCTTCACCCTAGCTGTTTCTGCTACAACTCCACCAAGATTAGCACCGTTTATCTGTCATTTCCGGCGTCCCATCCAGGCGGGTCTGCTGGGCTTTCTGCAGCAGTTATATTTTCCGTAAATCTCCCCTGCTTTAAGCGCGCAGTTTAAGTCTTTGAAACGCTCTTTCGATGTCATTCTTTTATACGTGCCCGTTACTTGTTGCTGCTGCCAGGTTGATTCACTATGGCCGATAACTTCACCATCGAGGCGTTTACCCTGCTGAGCTTGGCTGTTGTAGTCATTGTGGTACGCACCGGTGCCCGGTTGTCTATGGTGGGCATCCGCAACTTTCAAGTTGATGACTATCTCATGCCGCTGGCGGCCGTGGTCTATGGCCTTGAGACCGGTGCTGCATATTCCGTCGGGGCGAAATGGAAAGGCCTCGCGAATAATTCCATGACGGACGCCCAACGGCTCGCCCTCAGTCCGGACTCAGAGGAGTTCTTTTTGCGTGTGGGGGGTTCGAAAACGCAGGTTATGGGCTGGTCGTTGTATACGCTGTTGCTATGGTTGCTCAAGACCTGTATGGCGGTGTTTTATTCCCGTCTGACGTGAGTGTCAACCAAGATGCAGAGGTGACGACGATGCTGACTCTTTAGTTCTGGGTTGATGAACATGCAACTCCGGGTGCGCTTGGCCTATGTTTTCATTGGCGTCACGTATATCGCCGTCATCTGCTCGATTCTGCTTGGATGTCATCCCATGCATAAGAACTGGCAAATATATCCCAACCCAGGCAGTATGTCAGCCGTATCCCTTCCCACCTGACCATCTCTGACATGCGCAGACTACTGTCAGCCTGCCGTCTCTTCAATCGACGTCTTCGTGACTGTCACTTTCAACGTTGCCACGGATCTGTACCTCATCAGCATTCCGGCTCCGATGCTCTTCAAAGCCCGTCTCCCCTGGTGGGAAAAGTGTGAACTTCTCGTCCTCTTCAGCGGCGGTTTCTTCGTCATGGCCGCTGGTATCCTGCGCTGTGTGTTGATCATCACTGTACGTCTCTCCTCCTTTTGGTCTATACTATTCGCAAACTAACAAACCAGGCCGGTGCCAATGGCGCCCAACAAGCCGGTAGCTGGGCCTGCCGAGAAACCTTCGTCGCCGTCGTTATCGGAAACGTCCCCATGATCTACCCTGTTGTCCGCCGCATTGCTCGCCGTGCCAACGGCTACCTCTCGTCCTTTAATGGCGGCACCTCTGATAACCTCTCCTATCCTCTGTCCGAGAACCGATACCACACCGATAAGTCGAACCAGAGCCGTCGCAAGAAGTTTCGCCACCCGCTCTCCCTCCCTGGTGAGAGCCAGTGGGTCAATACCGTGAATAATGATGAGCAGATGATCCTGCCGACATCCAGACAACACCCGCCTACTTGCGAGTCGAATATGCATGATCAGGATTGGGATGCGGTGAGCCAGCGTAGTCAGGACGGGATCAAGGTGGTCCATGAGACCATCGTTCAGAGTAAGACGAGAAATATGGTTTGAAAAAGAAAAAAAAGAACTTTTCCTTTGTTTGGGTTAAAAAGGCATAGGCGTTATATGGTTGGTTGGTGGGCCGGCCACAGGCAGGATACATGTGCTTTCTTTTTCCTTTGTTTGATATACCCATTACGGAATCATACCAGTGTTGATAGACGAATACATGGTAATCATATAGAGCAGTTTGGCCACTCTCATCGAGTCATTGTCGACCGAGAACTATCGTAAGCTATCAGGTCAGATCAAGTGACAAACATCAAATTCGTGCTATTTTACATTAGATACACATACAGACACTCAAACGGACAGCATCATGGCTCCATGCCATTCATATCGTCCGGTGTCAATATCGACTGCCACTCTTCCGGACTAACGCGTAAACAGAGCGTATAGTAGCGCCCTTGGATCATTTCGGACTCTCCTTGCGGATTCCCCGCCAGGGCTAACTTCGTCCCTCCGGCAAACGGTGTACTGAACCAGACCGGGTTCCCCATGGTATCACCACCAACCCAGCAATCCTCATTACACGACATGCTGGTGCCGTACAGTAACGGACTGAAACCATTGCAAACCGCTTCAGGGATATGCAGCACATTCTCCAGGACGACAGTATGCGAGCTAAGGTCCTGGGGACTCTTGCAGAGCTCCAATTCCACCGTTCCTACTCCTGCGACTTGTAGTTCGTCGAAGGGATTGAAGATGTTGCTTTTTATTTGTCGCGACACGGGCCGGTATGTCTTGAACGAGGCTTGGTCTCGCGCATAGTGGCAGTTTCCGGTGATGACCATCCAGTCATAGCATTTGCGGTTGGCGGAGCCGACTCTAGTTCTCTTTCGAGGTTCTTCGGCTTCTTGAGCGATATCGTCGGGGACGCGCATTGTCTGAGGATCAGAAATCCGGTTAGCAAAGTTGCGACGGTTTGCGCGGTTGTGAAAGGTAGATACAGGCGACTGACGGCAGGATTGAGTGGCTGGTTCAAAAGATAGCAATCGCAATAATCTCCTGAATACAGTGCTGGATGCGATTGACGGTCCCTGGTGGTCCTGTAGTGTAAGCGACGGCTACGAAGCAGAGAACTCGAGCTGATGGATCGCATCCGGAAACGGAAAACCCGGCAGTATACGGAGGCGGTGAGTAATAAGCCAATAGCTTGCGGGCGGTACCTGAGTAGCTGTCCCAAAGAGGAAAGGGCTAGTGTTCCTAGAAATAATTAACTAATCCACAAGCGAGTGACGCACCCAAGCGAGTGACGCACCCCCGTATTCCATATAAAATGGCACTTTTTATACCCTCAATACCTCAACCACCAAGTATATAGAAGGCTGGAAGTTGAAAATGTACTATTTGGTGACCTATATATATATTCAGTTCTCTAAAAATATGTTTTATATCCATTGGTGGTTGAGGTATTGAGGGTATAAAAAGTGCCATTTTATATGGAATACGGGGTGCGTCACTCGCTTGTGGATTACATTAACTAGTCATTATTGCGTGTTATGCATTGCATAAAACATTGTACAACAAAATACAGCCATAACCAAGGCATTTTTGGTGAATTTCGAGGTCTATAGATTCAGGATCTTACATGAGTACTGCTATCCAGCAATTCAATCTTTAGTGTACGGTGTATCAGTGACTGTGAATGCTACGGTGGGCCGAAACTACATGTATTACACGCTCAGCGTGAATTGCACATTATTGAATGGAAAATGCATTTTATTGGGGCTGGCGGGCGTGCAAAGGTCGAGCACAAGTACGAATTGGGGTATGCTTTGTCACGGGATGAGGCTGTCCGTTTTGGGAAGACCACACTTCAAAACTTCCCCCTTGACATTAACTGCTCCCTTGGACAACATCCTTATGATCTCACAATCTCACAATTCCTCGCCACGAGATTGAGAGTGAGACCGGTTGGCAGCCCCTTTGCGTGGTGGCCACTCTGCCGCCGGCTCAATTTATTGGGCTCGCTTGATATCTCCGGACGAATCAGTGCCAGGTCTCTAGACCTTCCACAGGAACGTCATTCTCTAGCCCCTGGCACTGGCGAAAACTTGAGAAAAATGGTCTCTCGAGATCACATTCCGCCTTGACGCGAGAGTCCTGCACAGAGAACTTCCTTTTTGCAACACACGATGAAGCATCCACACGCTTCAATTTGCTTCCCAATGCCACGGGTTATCACGATGGATTGATGAACATATCCATTGAGGACGTGGTTCTCGCCAGTCTAGACCTAACGGTCTAAAGTGGACTCCTCCGAAGTGGTTGCTGCGCCCTGAGAGAATCACAATCGGGCTGGAGGGAAAGTTTCTGGTACATTTTTTTCTTCTCTTCCATGAAGACCTTTACCCGGTTACCTGCTAACTCAGTTGACTCTCAGAAGAAGTTGCAGATACTTTCATTCGTCGTTTCTCCCCGCATTGGTCATACTGCGAATAGTGGCTTCCGCGTGGCTACCCGAGACCCTTAACGATTGTCCTATCCCGAATAATGTATCGCACCCAAAGCCTCCCTGTCTGCTGAGGTCAGACCGATTTGGAACTCGCGAGATAGGGAACAGCAGCCCAGGACACTACACCTTGGCGACATGACCTCGAGCCTGGCAGCAGTACAGTCCAAGCGAACTTTTTTTTTTTTTTTTTTAAATCATTTCAATCTCAGTTCCCTCCAGAAAGAAATTTGTGCGGGCAATTGTTCAGCGATGAGTGCGCGTTGTGGAAATCATTCGCGGGACTAGCAGTGCATGGAAAGCATTGCTTTCTCACCAGCATCTGCAAATATGATCTTTCTTCTTCCCGCCATTCACAAAGGTATTCCTTGCGTCATGATACATCAGTTTCGGTAAAATCCATGGAGAGTTATCTTCTCGGGTCGATGATACGACACAGCGTGAAGCCTACGAAACTCGGACATCGCCAATTAGCGCCTGCAGCAAAAGGGTGCCTGATCTCACAAACCGGGATGCGAATGTTTGCCACAAGTCGTCCTAGGTCAAGGACGATATCAAATTACAAATCGAGGCAATGCCGCGGTATACTGACTCGACGGCTCTGGTCTGACGTCGCAACGCTCAACGTGCGAATGCTAGGCGGATGCTGACTGGAAAAGGACGTATATCGTATAACAATGTTGCTATACTTGGACGCATCAAGCACAAAAGATGTCGATCGATTTCGGAATGTCCCGTACATCGGGTTTTGCAGCAAGAGGGGTGCACGGAAGAAGACGTACTGCGGCCAAGAAAGTACCTTCTCCGGGGCTCGTATCATTGATAATATGCACATGTTAGATCGGGATTTGAAGAGGGTTTTTTTTTTTTTTTTTTTTTTTTTTTTTTGTTATTTCTTTTGATGCACTTACGGTGGCATAGGTTTTTTTGCCCTTGGCGTTCGATCTGTCTCGTCATGAAAGCCAGCGCCTTCCTTTTCGAGGATTTAAGCTCAAGGCATAAGGTGTGGCAAATAGCAAAGACCCATGGGCATCTGCGGCACCACTTCTGGGAAATCTGGACGGACGTCCCACGTGAATGGCAAATCACAAAAATACCATATAATGGTGTTGTGAAAAGTGCTATTCTTGTCTATAACAACTAGGGAAAGTATTACGCATCCCGGAGCGCGCCCGGGCAAGTTCAAGAAGTCCCGATATGGGGCTAACCCCGTGTAACAAAAAGCGCTTTCAAGACTGCCCAGTGACCTTCTCTGATGCGATCCGGAAAGCCAATAATATCGGACCCTATGGGGGGGATGTATTTCCCCCCGGCATACCCCTATCCTCATTGGCCATTTACCGGGCGCCGCCTGTCGGAAGTGAGAGCCAGCAAACGAAGGCCATGACCAGAAAGCGCGCATCCACAGACCACAGTGGAGGATGATTCATTAGTACCGCAGCTTATAGTTGAGTGCGGTTGGTTTCTGATTGGCAATCTGGTACCATATGCCGGCCCACCTGCAACGAGAGAAGATTTGTATCTGCTGGCTGGCTGGATGAGGGCGAAGGGGAAAAAAGAGGGCTTCAATACACGCACATGGGTATATCTATGCCGAAAGATTGTTCTCTTTACATAGTACAAAGAAAAATTCAATAAGACTACCCCCTCTTGATGTCTGATCCACTTGGGCCGTGGCTTCCACGGCCGATTGCTCCAGCTCCTCGAGGCGGTCGAGACGAAACTCTGACTGCTTCCCCTTTCGGACATCCCCCATCGGGCCAGGGTCCATCCGACGAGGCTTCTCTGTCCCTTCGAAAGCACAAAACAACAGCTTGTGAGACATGTAAGCAGAAGAAACTTAAGGTATGGCCCTGTCTTCTTTTCTCCTTCCCCCCGAGCCTCTGCCACGGCTTATTCTGACGGGGTCAGTGTCGCGGTGGCCCTCCATGCGACTACTGTGTCATCAACGGCATCGGTTGCCAAATGAACGAGCTAAGCGACATGCGCCGTAAAGGTGCCATGGAGCGCAAGATTGAGCAGCTCAAGGATGCCGAACGCCTGTTGCTAGACTTGGTCGAAACCCTAAAGAAGGACGACCAAAATGTACGCACCTGCCAGCTGATCAATTTGATTCGCAGCAACGCGTCCCTCGATGAAATCCGCTTCTTCCTCGAACGGCAGTTCTCTCCGGAGGAGCTGGAGAAGATGCCCGAAATCGTCGAAACTCAGAACCACCTTGCGCGAATACCGAAAGAAGAATCTTACGCTCGTCCGCGTCGATGCGTAATGCCAATCCAGCGTTTGACCGACGTTCCCATATACCGTGTCCCCGCGAAGCCTTGGACGACCGTGACCGACGACGACGACTTGGTGTCCCATCTGATCTCGATCTGGCTCACCTGGAGCCATCCCTGGTTCCGTTGGGTCAACCGGGACCTTTTCATCCGGGACATGCAAGCTGGTAATTTGGACTGCGAGTTCTGTTCGCCGTTCCTGGTGAATGCCATTCTCTCAGAGACGAGTGTATGTAAACATGACTACTTTGTGAACAGGCGTGATGGAGACTGACCGATGAAACTCTTTTTTTTTTTTTTTTTTCCCTCTCGGGATTGCAGCTTTATTCCGACTATTGCGAGGTATTCACGGTTCCGGGCGAGATGATATCCAGAGGTGACCATTTCCACGAGAAGACGTTGCGTTTGCTTGAAGAGGAGGAGGAACAAGCCAGCCTCCCGACAATACAGGGTCTAATCACCTTATTTGTACGGTGGGTTGTCTGACTGTATATTCGACAACGATGTCAGCTAACCGTGTATTAGCATTGCGACGACGGGAAAAGGCCGCATTGGATGGATGTACCTGGATATGGCTATTCGGGCAGCCAAAGAATACGATGTATCACATCCTTACCGACCGACAGACCAGGAATCAGTACAGATCGTGGAGGATGCCATCATTGAGACGCTGTGGGGTGTTTTCAATGTCTGCTGGTAAGTCTACATCCTTCTGATGAAAATGTGTGCAAAATAAGGCTAACTTTTCTAGCACGGTCAACCTGTGCGCACTCAGGCACGTCGAGATGGAACCTCCGCAACGCCCCCGATCTTTGATGAACCACGAGAAAGCGAGCGAAAGCTGGACACCATACCCCAAGCAAATGGACCCGATACCAAGCCATTTATCCTGTTCCTTTCATCGGTGGTGCGATTTGTGTTGCATAATGATCAGCATTACCCGGACATTTTTCGATTCGGAGAATAGACCTTCACCGTCACAGGTGTCGGCCATTGGCAGGAATATCGAGCGCCAGCTCCAGGGCTGGTATGGCAATCTGCCGGATTGTCTATGTGTACGGGAGACAACAGTACCGCATATACTCTCTCTACAGTACGTCCACTCCATTGTACCAGTTGGCTGTTCAGTTTCGTGTACTGACGCATATTCCTAGCTTGTTTTATCATACAGCGTGCGCACAGCTTTACAGCTTCCTCCGATCGCAAGCCCACGGAAACGACGATTCTATAAACGTGGAGGAATACCAAGGCCGTCGGTTTGCCACCACGCGGCGCATTGCCGCTTTGTTTGACATCCACCGTCAGCAATGGGGCGTCGAACGTATGCACCAGTCGACGATACAATGTGTGGCGGTCGGTTGTCTGTCGATACTTGAAGGATTGGAATTTCCAGAGAATAGCCACGCGTTCGTCACGTTGTGTACTGTTGCGCGGGACTTTGGTCGCCATTTCGCCCTGGCTCGGGGAGTTTTGCAAGTGATTCGGCTTGCCGCACAAAGGACGAGGGTGCTTCTCCCGCAGGACACTCATGGTCTTTTCCGGGAATTTGAAGAGACGCGTTGGGCAGGTGAGCAGCGCATGCAATCCAGCAGCCTGTTCCTGAGTGCGGTGTATCGACTCGCACAAGGGGCTGGCGACGAGAAGGATGATGAACAGCACCAGCCAGACTGGGATTATTTATGATTTAGATGAGTTACGCTTATTACGATTTTCGGGTTAGATTTTCTCTTTGGTTGCACCTAAATCTAGATTAATAAATACCTTTTGTGGTCTATCTGCATAATGAAGTCAACGTTTATTTGCTATTGGATTTAAATGTAGAATACCTTGGTGGCTATTTCGGCGCTATACATATAAAGCGTCCTCGACCGAGAGCTGAATCCTTGACCTCTTCTTGTTTCTCCCTCCCCGCGTGCTGCATTGGTCTCTTTCTCTTTTGGACTAGCTCTGGGGTTGTCGCGGGGAATACTTCCCTGCACTGTCACTTTCCCGGCAGTTCAGCTCCACTCCCTCCGCGTTGCATTGCCCTTTGTAACCAAAAGAGCAATTCTGGCCGCTTTTGCGATTGAAGCTGCTGCAATTGTGCTCGCGATCATGGCCGGAGAGAGACTATTTAAAGCCGGGCAGGTCGCGCTGTTCGAGTGTCAATTGGAGTTGTCGCAATTGCGCGAAATCCAGTCTCTACGTGCTGCCGAATATACATATTGAGCCACCATGACCGAGGTGATCACACACATTGTGCTTTTCAAGTACAAGCCGGACATGACATGGAGTGATTTCGAGAAACACTTTGATGTTTTCATGTCACTGAAGTCGAAATGTGTCAAGCCAGACACCAAGCAACCGTACATGAAGAGCATGAAGGCTGGTAAGTTTGTCGGGCTATACGGAGTGGAGAATTGGGGTTGACCGTGAACAGGCAAGAATCGCAGCTGGGAAGAATTCAACAAGGGATTGACGCATGGATTTGTACTGGAGTTCGAGAACCAGGCGGATCTGGATTACTACCTCACAGAGGATCCGGTGCATCTGGAGTTTTCGCGCAATGCAGCGCCATTGATGTAGGTACCCGTCTAACTTGTGAAACGATTTGTGCTGACTTGATACAGTGATGATTCAGTTGTGATCGGTACGTCGCCCAGTCTACGATGCTTCTATACCCGCTAACTGTATAGATATCCGGGATGGCGTTCTATTCGGACCCCCAGCGAAGAAACCCGCAATGCGCGCCGGCACCTATAACGGCAGTTGCCATTGCGGATCGTGTGTTTGGACAGCTGAGATTACCGACCCGGAGCACATACTCTGTCACTGCGATACCTGTCGGAAGCTGGGAGGAGGGCCATACTCGATGAACCAGATCATTCACAAGGTAAGACACATCCCATTGAATTATCCCCCCCCCCAGCACACCTGTAACCGCTGAATCAGGATGAAAATGAGGGCCATGAACATCATGATCATGGCGATGATGAGCACCCTCATGATGAACATGAAGAGCCTGACCATGATAATGAAACCGATGATAATGGTAATGACCATGATAATGATGACCACAGGACCAACTACGCATCCTCACCGGACAACCCAGAGTCTACACCTACACCGGCGCCTCCGGAAATCCCGTCCACTGCTACTTCTGCCCAACCTGCACCTCGCACATCTACCACCACCAGGCCGTCATGGGCGATCGAATCATCATCCGGACCATCCTCCTCGATGGCGGACAACGAATGCAACCGGGAGGCGAGATCTTCGCGGAGGGAAAGCTCGGGTGGGTGGACGCATTGCGGGAAACGCTGGAAAAGAAGGGTTAGACAGTGGAGAGAGAAGTGAAATAATAGACACCGTTCAGGGCGAAGTACTGTACTCTGTACTGGTACTCTTATAGTATCCGCATTGGGAAGTCGTAGATAGCGCTGAGTCAGCGGAAGTGTTATCGCCGCATTACCTCTGTCTCTCTGCATCGCCCGAACAGAAGGAGATGGACAACCACCACAATGCACCCCACGACTGGCAGTATAACACTGGTAATGAATTCACGCCAGATGAACCCCTTCCGCCATACTCGCTGCTACCGGAGCCCGGTTTGATCCAGAACCAGATCGACGATGACCCGTCGGCTCGAATGCCCAAGCCATGTGTCGTCCCTCGTGAGTCCAATAGCAGTGATACCCAAGGCATGGAAGCTAACGAGAAGGAAGAAACTGCGCAGACATATCATGGAAGCATATATCGTCCCTTTGCCCGCGCGTACTCGCCCGATCTCCTCTCCCACGGCATCACTCGCTCCGATTTCATCGCTTTCGTCGACGGGCTGAACGAAGTCTGGCTAGCCGATCCATACCTGCAAGCTATAAGCGTCTCTGGGAATGTGTTGAATTTCATGCCGCTGCTGGAAACACAAATCGTCGGGCTGGGCGTCACGGTCGCGGCGGAATACGGGTCCCTTAAGCTATCGCAAATGCGCACCGAAGCGTACCTGCGACTAGCCAATACGGAACTGTTCAAGCCCAAGGAACTCCGTGTGCAGATCCTGAAAACGTGGGAAATGATGCATACGGCTGGAATTCCGCGGACTGTGCTGCAGCTTCGGCCTGTCGGGGAGGATGAGCGGTTTGAGGACCTGGACGACACAGACACAGACAAGGGAAAAGGGAGGGAATACGATCCGCAGCTACGACGGATGGAAACGTTAAAAGACTACGTGATGCCATTGACATTCGACCCCGGGAGACCGTCCTCCGACAACTGGTTGAAGCAAGCGTCGGAGAAACAGGAACGATTCTTCTCGGAGAGGCAGAACAGTATAATCCGGGGCAAACGGGAAAAGGCCGCCAAACAAGTCAGTGAAGCCGAATCGGCTGAAAGGGAACTCAACCGGCAAGCCGACGAGTTGGAATCGACCAAGGCAAAAGCTACTGCCCGGGCGGCCGAACGGTTGTCGGGTCCTCTGGGCGAGTCAAACCAAGGACAACTGTGGATCCAAGAAGATTTGGAAAAGGAATTGAAGAAGTTAGACAAGCAATTGCAGCGAGTTAGCCGAGAGAGGGAGAAAAAGGTCGCACGTAAAGTCCAACAAAGTGAAAGGCGTCTGCACCGCGTGGAAAAGCGCGAGCATCGGATTGCACAGAAAGTGATGTGGATAGTGGTTTCGGCGGATGATGGGACTGGCTTTGAGAACCATCTCATGGAGCACACCACTTATATGGAATGAGCAACAATCTACTCCGTACGCAGTACTTCTTACCCTGTACAAATCCACCATATCCGGACTCCCCGGGTATCCATCGCTGGCCGACAGCTGTGCTCGGAACTATTGTAAGCCGGTCTCGCAGCTGCTCAACATTCAGTCTTCACGGATTCTCAATCAGGAAATGCTCTGAACGTCAGCACCGACTCTCAGCCAGCAGTTCTTAACCACTCGTCTATGTGGAGTACTGGTTTGACGTGGACTTCCAGAGCACATCGCACGAGTACTCTGTAGTTGACCGTGATACTCGCGGTTGTGCCGTGTCCAGATCAGATTTTACCAGGGAACTGACTCGATGTGCAGCAGATAGATATGCTGTGTCATAATCTACCTGCGAACAGTTATGCAATGTTCAAGATCTGTGTCTCAGAGTGGCAACCATGCCATTCCGATATCGTCTTTCTGCATCATTAGGCCACTCCACCACGTATACATACTACTCATGCAATACGGAACACCATCCGGAATAGTGCAACATGGTGCTCTACACTTACATATAGACAGAACCGAGAGCCGCGGTGCACCGGAGTGTCTCCATTGCCCCATCCCATCGTCCGTCGTCCGGGCCGACTTTGAAAAAGAAGCTTTTTCAAGCTTTCTAAGCCGAGCCCGTGCTTTCTTTTCACAAATTGCGGTGAACTCTTCCGGTCCACTCAGATCCTGGACGAGAGAGATGAGCCCCTCCGGTGGGCGCAAGATAGTGCGAACATGTTCACGGAAAAATGCCGCGCAGTGGATATCATGAACCACTGGCATGCAACAGATAAGGAAAATATTTTTCCCCGGCAAAGTCCTCGTACTCTGTGGGAAAGTTCAAGAACGGCACTTGGGCTAGGCCAATGATCGTCCGTCATTTGACTCACTTGTCAGGCCGGGCCGATAGCCGCTGTGGCCGGTGTCGAGATCAAAAGGCACTAAGTCAGCCTCAGGGCCAGACTAGGAACGCCGATCTGTGATTATCCATGCAGAATGCGAAAAAGACCATGTGTGTTCGGCTTGCGAAGTCAGGCTGGAGCGCTGTTCATTGGACAGAGATAAATGCTGACCTTGCAGGTTACATTGGCGCAGCTCTCGGCAGAGATATAAGGGTGTCCGTACCCGGATTGTTTTCTTCATCCTCTTCACGATTCACGAACCTACGTTTCAGTCGAGCCGGTCTCGATCATTCAAGTTTTTTTTTTCCGTTGTTAGCGTTGAACGAACCGAATAATAGACGACAAATTGAATACACACAAAATGCTCGACGCCCTCTCACCCGACGAGGTCGTGGCCTCGGTCAGTCGTACCGGTGCTCTGAAAGGTCACAGTCGGTTGGATAAGGTGTTCTTCAGCTCTGTCTTTGCGGGAAGTTTGCTGGCCTTTGCCTGTGGAACGTTGCTGAGCACCAACGCCGCCGCATGGTACCAAGATAATGCTGGAGGATTGATTCGTACCCTCAGCTCGCTGGTTTTCCCGTATGGATTGGCGATGATTATCCTCTGTGGTGCCGACCTGTGCACGAGTTCGTTCCTGTTCACCACCGTTGCCGCTCTGAACCGCAAGTTGTCCTGGTGGCGGATGCTGGTGCACTGGTTTGTGACATTCTGGGGAAACTTGGCTGGTTCTCTGTTTGTCATGGCGCTTATATTTGGCTGTACGTTTACCCCCCCCTCCTCCCCAGGAAATACAATGGTTGATTCCAAGCTAACATGAGCAGACGGAGAGGTTTTCTCGGCCGATCCCTACAAGTCCGAAGTCATCTCGTACGCCAACAAGAAACAAGTTACCCCCGAATTCCACATGATCTTCCTGCGCGGTATCGGCTGCAACTGGCTCGTCAGTATGGGCTGCTACTTTGCTCTGCAGGGCCGTGATCTCTCCTCGAAGCTGATGGGCATCTGGTGGCCTATCTTCGGTTTCGTCTCGCTCGGATTCGATCACGTTGTCGCCAACATGACTCTTATTCCGATGGCCATATTCCTCGGTGCACCGGAGATTAGCGTCGGGCTGTACATCTGGAAGGGTATCATCCCGACCTTGATTGGAAACATTGTCGGGGGTGCTCTGTTCTGCAGCGTCTACTTCTGGTACATGCACCTTATGGAGGTTGAGACCCTTCCGTTCGTTAAGCAGAAGCAGGACGAGAGCCAGTCTGAGAACGGCCAAGGAGGTCCGCACAAGGACGACATCGAGGCCAGGGCTGGTATGATCTCTGCTACCGCTTAAGCAACCTGCTTGATTGATCTGACTCATGAATACGGAGTATATAATGGGGCTTAATCCTACCGTAATGTAATGTAATGCTGAATGATAGTTGTGAACATATGAGCTTGACACTTTCATAATACTATAAAATCAAGCTCTGACTGGTATTACCACTGCGCTGCTTCTGGATTCTTCAGCCATGCGCTGGCAGCGCTTCGATCGATGGTTTGGGGCCCATCTTTTGACCCTGGATTGTCGGCTTGATCGGATTTGGATCCCACTAGGTCTAATTTTCGCATTTATAGGTGTGCTGAAGAATACGTTTAGTAGAACGGTCGAGTTGTTTCTGGCAGACCACCCAGCTATCTTCCCTAGTAAAACGATCCGCTGTGTGCAGACTGTTAGAATACCGTCGTGCCTGTTAGGAATTTACCAAAAGAATTCAAGTCCAAAGAAAAGAAGAATATAACAAGATCCGTGACTAAACGCTGCAAGCAATGTAGCAAATCAACTTGGTATATAGGTATTATTATGTACATCAATGCTCTAGGGAAGAGCAGAGAAGCAACCGCCCTGAGCCTCAGTCTCTTTCCACCCAATGCACTTATAGCAATTCATCAACCCATACGGGTCATACTTGTGCTTGATGGCCAGAAGCTTCTGGTAGTTCTCCTTACCCCACCAGGCCTCCTGCCAGTCCTCAGTGAAGGGATTGGCCTCGTTGGTGTACGCACCGCTGCCGGGGGTGATCTCCTCCAGCATCGCGGTCATTTTGTTCGTGTGGGCGATCTTGCTCTGGCGTTCGGAGAGGGTGCTGTTCCAGGCAAAAGCGGTACCGACACCGAAGGACCAGATGGACTTGCGCCAGGCAGGAGTGGCAGAGGTGTCCTTGGGGTTTGTTTCGTTGTACAGCACGGGAGGCACCACGGGGATGTACGGATCGCCGCCCGAGGAGACGAGGTAATCGAAGAAGTCCATCAGATCGCGACGGCCGTTGGCGGAGGTGAACATCGACTGTGGAATGAGACGGGTGGCTGTGAAGTGGACGTTGCCAACAGCGACGGCGTTGGCCACGACGAAGGCGTCATAGAAAGCCTGCCAGGAGGAATAGCGCTTGATCAGGACGGTGCCGTTTTGCGAGCGGGCGTAGTTAGCGACCTGGGCGAGCGACTGGTTGGCCTGCTGGACGGAGACGAGAGGCGAGACGTTGATGAGCGAGTTGCCCTTGATGTGACCGCCCCATCCCTCGTGTGCCCAACGCACGGAGTTGTTCACGACAATATCCATGAAGGGCAAGACATTGTCGTTGGTCTTGGGGAATTTGATCGATGCCGCGGTGAGAGGCATATTCGGCTCGACGCGGTGGGTGCTCTCGAAGACGACGCCAAAGGTACCACCACCGCCGCCGCGGAGGGCCCAGAAAAGGTCGGGATTCTGGCAGGCGTTGGCGATGCGCAAGTTGCCATCGGGGGTAACGAGCTTGAACTCGACAACGCGGTCGATACCGAGACCATACACGGGGGAGAGGACGGAGTGACCACCGGCCTGAAGCCAGCCACCCGAGACGCCAACAGAGGAAGAGTAACCACCGATGAAGGTCATGCCATGGCGGTCGGAGAAGCGATAGACTTCATCGAAGATAGTACCGGCGCCGGTGGTGACGGTGTTGTTGATAGAGGACGAGGCGTTGGCGGGACAGCCAGTAGGGACAAAGGTAGCATTGTACTGCAGCTTCTTCAGGTTGCGCGTCCACAAGGCGAGAGAACCCTTTCCGCTGCTACGGCCGAGGTAGTCGTGGCCGGTGTTCTTGATCACGAGTGGGACGCCGGTGGCGTTGCTGAAACGGAGGGCTTGAACAACATCTTGTGCATCATGCACGTCAATATAGTAGTCGGGCACGTTGCCCTGGGCACAGGTGTGATTCCGGATCGGGGAAAGATTGGAGGGATCGTTGTTATCGAGCAGGCACTGGTCCCGCGGGTTGGATGCGCACATTTCATCCTGATTGTTCATGTATCCATTCGGAACAGCTCCCCGCAGCTCCGGCGAGGTGTAGTTGTCCTGGACAATCGCACATTCCTCGGCATCGCTCGCGAACGGACGGCCATTGTAGCTGGAGAAACAAGGCAGCGACAATGGCTTGTTCTCATGCAGATGACCGTGAACAGTGGCATTCAAGGCCGACCACGAAGAGATATTGGCGGCGCTGGCAACGGATGATGACGCCAGCGCGAGAAAGAATGCTGGTCTCATGATGGCGAATATTGTCAATCCGGCGCCAAAATTGAGCCTGCAGTTGAGTTTTCGAGAGACGCCACAAAAGTGAGGGAATGGAACCAAGAAATAATCACTCAGGCAAAACGCTATTTCCTGTCTCTGCTCCGAGTCCGACCAGCTTTTCGTAGAACCAGCCGAAGAAACCGAGTGGATACGACCGAAGTTCAGCCAGCGTGGAGAGATGCCTTGTATACGCCGTATTTCTTATGCCCGAGATCTAATTGAGCAGCTGCATCTGTATACACGCTCCATACCCCGGTGCACATAATAACACGGCTCTATTATAATAGATCTATATACCGAGAGGGTTCATGCTATGACCGTGTCGAGGCAAATTCTCGGCGGCGTGGATCCAAGACAAGCCCGAATATTGGCTCCGAGAACCGATATTAAGTTAATTAGAACCATGGCTAAAAGACCGAGGCAACGGACAATTACCCACGAACAAACTTTGTTGCGCTGCGGTTCCTCAATGGCAACCGTTTTTACTCTCGCTTTCCCTCCCTCAGGGACAGTAAAATTCACACAGAAGAGGAGGGAAAGGAAAAAAGCGAAATGAAATGAATGCATGAACATCACCATCACCATCACCATCACCATCACCAACTGACTCCGTTCGTTCGATTGGTCAGCCATCGACCATGTATAAAGAAAACACCTATTGGAAAAATGTCCTGACTATCGTGCCCATTGTGGGATCCTGTGTGGCTACCATCATCTATTTCTTGCGACTGTTTGCTCGGCGTGTGGGAGGGACAACGAAATGGCAGCTGGAGGATGTGCTTATGGGAATTGGGGTGCTGATCTCTTATGGCGCTACGGCCTTTGTCGTTTACAGTCAGTTCAATTCTCCGGACAACCCTATTATATTGATCCCAATCGACTAACGGAAACAGCCGCTTTCAATGGCGTCGGCTTGCCGACTAGCACCCTCCCTCCCGATGAACGTCGACGCGTCCAATTCGGTTCCTGGATGATCCAGAAGTTCTGGGCGCCATCAATGGCGTTTATCAAGATCTCGATTATTGTCTTTCTCCGCCGTCTGCTCGGAACCTTGACCTTGTACCGCGCCTTTACGATGGGCCTGATTGTATTTGTCACCTGCTGGGCAATAGCGGCTCTGCTGGTCAATATCTTTCAATGCTGGCCGGTCCAGTATTACTACGACAAGGATTTGAACGGACACTGCATGGGACATCAGCGGGAATTCTTCCAGTGCATGGGATCGTTGGCATTGATCGAGGATGTGTTTATCCTGTGCCTGCCCATTCCGGTGGTTTGGCGGTTGAAGATCACCATGAGTCAGAAATTCGCCGTGACTTTCGTCTTTTCCTTGGGCGGACTGGTCTGCATCTTCAGTCTGCTTCGCCTCATTGAGTTCCGCAGGTTCGTCGTCACCGACCTGGCCTCGTCCAGTGCCCTCGAATCCATTTGGACCGTGCTCGAGATCAACGTCGCCATCATCACCGGTTCGTTGCCGCTGTTGAGACCATTGCTCCAGGGTATTTTGGGCCATATGCGCTCCGTCAGTAATAGCAAACGTTCACATCCCTCCAGCGGCAGATATTACCGACCATCCATGCCGACGCCGCCAGACGACCTGCACAAATACTTCGACCCCCGACCACTGGATCATACCACCACGGTGAAATCAACCACAAAGGAGACGACAATGCCACCTGACCAGTTTTACAAATACGAAAGAGATTTGGAAGGCCACCAGAGCTCCGATATCGAGCTGCATGGGATTGCAGTCACGACGGGGGTAGACCAAAACGTTGAGGAAAAGTCTGATATTGGCAATGCAGAGCCGGTTTCCAATCGGAACTGGCCGTTATAATTATTAATTCAAAAGGCATAGTTAACTACAGCATATTAGTTGCATGATGTATATAAACTTTATGATCATGAGTTACGCTTCATTCATTAGGTACATTATCGTTATATAACACACTGCCCATGAAATGTAGACACAAATTAAACCGCGAGAACACCCCGGTAGCGCATCTTGCCTGCTTCCAAGGTATCCAGACAGTCCTGAATACCTTCGACCGTCATCGGGTATCGCACACTGATTGGCTTGATGCCGTGGAAGGCTGCAAACTCGAGCATATCCATGTGCACCTTTCGTGCGGCGACGATGGAGCCCTGCACCCGCAGACCATTGGACACAAGGCCCATGTAGGGGAACTTGAAGTCCTCCATAGCGACCGACAGCGGTGAGATGCTCGCCCCGGGAGCCAAGACGGGGATGTAAAGGTTCCAGTTGGGCTGGCTGCTCGTCGTCACGATCAGGTGGTCGACGGGCTTTTCGATCTTCAACTCCTTGGCGCCCTTGGTGGAATAGAATTCAGCAGCGCCCAGCTTCTTCGCTTCTTCACGCTTGTTGTCCGTGCCGGAGAAGACGACGACCTGGCAGCCCATCTTGGCCGCGAACTGGATGGCCAGATGGCCAAGGCCTCCAACGCCGACAATTCCCACGCGTGCGGTGGATTTGACCTCTGCCACATGGAGGGCATTGAACACGGTCGATCCGCCGCACATCAAGGGGCCCGAGTCCTCGTTACTGATACCGTCTGGAACACGGAAGAGGAAGGCCTCGCGCCAGACGGCGTGGGTGCCGAACGAACCCTGGTCCAAATTGGCGCTGGCGTACATCTGGCGTTCGGAACACAAGGTTTCCCAGCCGGTCAGGCATTGACGACATTGTTCGCAGCTGTCGTGTTCGTAGCCCCAGCCGACACGATCTCCCTTTTTGAGGTATTTGACGTTGGGTCCGACGGCAGCAACGGACCCGGCTCCTTCATGGCCTAGAGCCATGTCGGCCTTGCGGTAGTGGACATCGGTGAAGCAGACGCCGGAATGACTGATTTCGACGAGAACTTGGTCTCCGGTGAGGTCATCGCGGTGGGCGGTGGTTTCGCGGATGGATCCGTCGGAGGATCCCTTGAAGACGGTAAAATCGTAGCCCATGGTGGATATCGGTACTTAGGTATATCAATTGGTCTTGATCTGGGAATTCTAAGGACCTTGAGGATGGGGACAGAGTATTTATAGAGCGACGAGAAACCATCTCTCCCCCTCCCCTCCCCCCCCCCCCGAAAATCATGCACATTCCTACACTACTGTCCTTCCGAAAGCAGCAAATGATATCATTGCAATCGGTTAGCTGAATTACAAATAATGACCGAGGAAGTGGCCATGACTTCACCCCCAACCAAATCCAAAACCAGCTGAACAGGGGCAAAAAGCAAAGTCAATTACACTCGAGCCACTAATGCATCTCCGAGAGCCATGATACTCGCTTCGAATTCCTCATAAGATCTTGCAGCCCAGTTAGCGTTTCGCGGCACGGCATTGCGCCCTGAAAATGCAAGATACAGCACATCGGGTTCGTCGTGCCCATTGTTGCCGTTCATGCTATCTCCGAAGCATGCCGTCGCTAGCGCCAGACTCCCTTCGCCCACCAGAGCCATGCCGTCGTTTCCGTTGATGTCGCCCCAGATGCCGTAGATCAGCTGGCCGCCGCAGACAACAGCCACCACGCTAAGCGGTTCGATGCCGTGATCGCGGGGATCGAAAGTCACAGCCCCAATGTTTCCCAACACAACATAAGGGTGGATCGAAGCGTTCAGATCGGTGATGTTGGAGAGCCGCTGAACCTGGCGCCTGAAGGCCGTCGCGGGCTGAGTGTCGCTCGATCCCAGGCAGCGCGGATCGGCATTCTGCTGATCCCCGTCGCAGTCGATGTCCGTATTAGCCAGATCCGTGCCTGGACCTTTGATGTAGAGTCCGCGGCCGGTGAAGTTCCTGTCACAGTAACTCCATTCGTCGGTGCTATCGTCCTGGTCGAACAAGCCATCTTGCAAAAGATCGTCACCCGTGCAGGGTCCCGCATTCTTGACCGTATCGTAGAATCGCTGCAAGTTGGAGGGGATATCTCTGGCCATGCAGGTGGCCAGAGTCGCCAGGATGATGATGGGCAGTTTCATGTTGCAATTGCTCGTTTAGGCGTGCGACAGCGTGCAGGGAAAGTACCCATATAATGGTATACTGCGCATTATATACACACCACGGCATCGCGTCAATCTGTGCGGGAAATGATGCCGACATAGCTGGACTGTTTGTGAGGTCATGTTTCTTCAAGCGTGAGTTCAGCCATTGTATAGATCACCATGACCGAGTATGGCACGCATGGCCGGCCATACAACAGCAAAATGTGCACTCTGTAGCATTCTATGCCAACACCTCCCCCCCCCTCCCCCCGGGCGAATTCGGGACGCAAAAGAATAGGAGAATCAAAAAGACTTCTGCCTTCTGTATAAATTAAAGATTGTCGTGCCAAGAATTAGTCATTCTGGATTAAATCACCACGGTCCTTTGAAGCGTTGCTCCAAACCATCGACATTGACACCACAACGAACGCTTCAGACAAGTCTATACACAATGAACTGTCCCTCGCGCACCGACGATGACCTTGTCCATCCCGGTTGGAACCAGAACCCGCCCTATCTCGCCTTCGATCTCACCACCCGCCAAGACCTGAACGGCATCTCCAACGCTCGGGAGTTGCAGGACCGCGCGGGGCTGGTCGGAGTATCCTTTGCAGGTTGGGATGAAGGAGGAATAACGGCTGCTAGAGATTCAGGACGAGAGAAGAAAAGACCTGATCCTCAGGGAGCGTCTCTGACTTTGTCAGGTAAAAGTCATCGTTGCGGCGGAATGCGACGACAATGCTAACGGCCACAGGACGCTCCATTTCCCCGATCAGTAGCCATGCTGCTATATCAGGGAACAAACTATCAAATAATACGCATCGAACATGGCAGACAGCCAAAGAATGGGCATTGTGGCTGCTGTCTGTTGCGGTCGCATCGACTGTAATCTCCCATATCCGATACCCAACAAGCGGTGCCGGAATCGTCAACTTGGAACCACCTCCACGACATCTCCCCGAACGGTCCACCTGTGAGGAAGGCGGCGCTAATGGCGACGAGTACAATCTTCCCCTGCACGTCGCGGGTCTATTCATCATCTTGTCCGTGTCGACGTTGGCCTGCGCCTTTCCCATTCTTGCCGTCTGGTTTCCCCGTCTGCGCATTCCGCCTTCGTTTCTCTTCTTCGTCACCCATTTCGGAACCGGGGTGTTGATTGCAACGGCGTTTGTCCACTTGCTTCCGACCGCATTTACCTCGTTGGGGGACCAATGTCTGTCGAAGTTCTGGACCACGGACTACCCCGCGATGCCCGGGGCCATTGCGTTGGGTGGCATCTTTCTCGTCACAGTGATTGAAATGGTGTTCAGTCCCGCGCGGCATTGTTGTCGACCACCAACCGAGCCGGTTCGCCAAAGTAGCCCTCAGGTGCCTCGAATCGACATCACGGAGCCGCCCAATTCAGCCGCCAATCCACGGGCTCCGGCGGCGATGCTGGATGGCAGACACCTGAGCGACCTGGGACCGCTCGTCGGACGCTCTTCCAGCATGAGTCGATCGATCAAGGGGATGGGAGAGGACCATGAAGATATCTCGCGGGTTCCATCGGCCCCCGAGCAGTCTCCACAGGGCTGGGAGGAACGAAAGACAGAAGCTGTTGAACAGGATGTCGAACGCAGCGACGATGATACCTTGAGTCTGTCGCCAGAATTGCAAGACAGGAAATCAGTGATGCAGGTCTTTTTGCTCGAGATGGGAATCCTTTTTCACAGTGTGTTTATCGGCATGTCCCTCAGCGTGTCTGTTGGGAACTCATTTGTCATTCTTTTGATTGCCATTGTGTTTCACCGTATGTCCATTTCTTTTTTGTATGAGAGAGCTGGCTTGCTAATGCGCGCATAGAGAGCTTCGAAGGACTGGCACTGGGCGCCCGGATTGCGTCGCTGAACTGGCCACGAAAGGCCTACCAGCCGTGGGTCATGTCTCTCGCATATGGATGCACGTATGTTCACCGGTATCTTTGCAATTGACACATTGCTAATTTATACAGCACACCCCTTGGGCAAGCGATCGGCCTCGCCACGCACACTCTGTACAGCCCCAATTCGGAAGTCGGATTGCTCCTGGTGGGCACTATGAATGCCATCTCGGCTGGTTTGCTGATCTTCGCATCGCTGGTCGAATTGATGTCGGAGGATTTTCTCAGCGATGAGAGCTGGAAGGTGCTCCGGGGAAAGAAGAGGGTGATTGCATGCATTCTGGTCTTTCTGGGTGCATTCTGCATGAGTTTGGTCGGAGCTTGGGCGTAAAGCCTTGCCGCTGAACATCGACGACTCGCATCAGTCGTTTGCTTCTTTGCTGACTGGGGTGATTCAGGTACCGGTTGAGCCTGAGTGATACAGTATCGGACGTAGACTTGAAGACAGGATAGATCGTGAATAGATCGTGAAGGAAGAAGTTGCTGTTGGGGGGGGGATCGGGGAGTTTATTCTGTATATTTATCTGCATTTGTACATACTCTAGAATACCCTGGGGCATGGACAAGCGAGAATATACTTACTAGTTATAGCTTGGTGAGAGTATTTCGAACCTTCAGTAGAGGTATTACTCCTAATTGTATCTCGACTTTCAACCCCCAGTTAGCAGGACCGCATGCATTCGCTGCTGTTAGATAAAAGCTGGCATCTATCTTCCATTCTATCGACAGAGCAGCCAGGGAGATCGATTTTTCATGAAAATATGTGTAGGAAATGCTGGAAGACTACGATTCGAAGCCTGACTTGACGGTCGCATATCCCTGTACGGCCCCTGAGTATAAGTACTTGCATTTCGGGCTCATTGATATATCCGAGTGGTCCACGAGGGCGCGAATCCACATGCGACTGGCCAACACATACGCCTCTGGGGAGGATGTTGTCCGTAGGTTTGTTTGAATACGAACGATGACTGTTATCAGGGTTTTGTATTACCATGTCGAGTATAGACGTCCGACGGTAAAGCAATACTGGCACACCTCCACGCCGGATGTACCAAGTGCGTTAGATCTTGGAGCATCCTACGAGTGTTTAAGGCACTTCAAAAAACGGCGCTGATCCCAATCTCGGGCAGTGCATCGGCCATCGGGAGATGGGCGTTTTCACTTGGGCAAATCATTCTGATCGTCGGCCACGATCACGAACGGCTCTATAGTTGAAGATCTACTATGTACAGATATCAAGATCAAGAAAACAAATGCAAGAACGCTGAAAAACAGGAAACAAAAAGATAATCTCATAGTACTAGCCATATCATCATACCGAGCCATCCCGACGCGAACACAGCTGTCAGGATGCCTGCACCAGCCCGGTCGCCGGTCGTAACGACCGGCGAAGTTTGACCCTGCGCGTTCTTATCATTTGCCCCACTAGCCGGGTTGCTGGTGCTATTCCCGCCGGTGGTCGAGGTGACCGGGGTTGAATTCTTGGTGGTGATGAGGTTCGACGAGAACACGCTCAGCGCGCTCATCTGCTCCTCAAGACCGCTCCACCCGTCCCATGCCCTGGTATACCATCGGACCCCGCAGGTGTTGTTATTGTTTCCAGTGCAAGCTTCAGCGGCAGCCTCGGCAGAGCTTTGGAGCTTGGGGAGGATTTGCGACGACGTCGACGGGGCAAGGACGGAGGTGAAGGCGAGCCAGGCGGACGTGAGACCTTTGAAGAGAATTTCGTTGTTGTTGCAGACTTCGTTGGGTTCACAGATTTCTGACATGACATGGTCGTATTTCGCAAGGAAGAAGGTGTCTAAGGTGACATTGACGAGGCCGTTAACCGCGTTTTGCCATTTGGTTTTGGCAGTGCCGTTGGTCTAAATGGTCAGTTTTCTGGCACGAATGAAGCAACTGAACGGGGTGACCTACATAGGCGTACATGTATGCTGCACCGCTTAGCATTGTACCGTAGTTGTATGACCATTGGTTATTTCCTTGAGAAGTACAATCGTCTTCGATGTTGGTCGAGTCGGCCACATTCCAGGTGCTATTGTTTATCAACGGGGTCGAGGCAGCCCAGTCAAAGATCTTTTCGGCCCAGTCGGCATAGGTGTCGTTGTTCGTATAGCGTGCGAGACGGGCGGACAGCTGAAACAACCCTCCATTGGAGATGGTATTCTTCATGTCGTAGCCGGCTTCGTAGGCATAGATCTGCCAACGCAATCCTCCATCGCAGGTACTGCTATCCCACCGGTCAGCCTGGGTGTTGAAGACGCCCTGCGCCAGGGACAACCAGGAATAACCATCGTCGACTTCGGGATACTGCAATTCGGCGGCGGTCATGGCGGCCAGACCCCAGAATACTTGGTCATCGTTTCCCTGGGACTTATTAGACCATGATTGACGCAGTTAGTGCTGTTTGGCCACCTACCAGATACGTACTCCAGTTGGTTGGCATGTAGTCACCGTTGCCGGACTGCCATTGCATACCGACAGACACTTCGTCGTTGTAGGTGGTATCGCCGGTGAAGTACCAGTATTGAATCAGCGTCATGAACATGGCACCGCCTTCCCACCAGGTTTCGGGCAGTTTTCCAGGAATCTGGCCCGTTTCGTTGCCATGATAATGGGTCATCATGCCATATGCAGCCGTGCTGGCCGCATCTTTGATCGATTCTGAACGACGGAGACCAAGGATTAGCCACGGCGGAACGAAGATCTCACCCAGAGATCTGCAACGATAACACGGAACACACTCACGCTCATCATCAATGTTGAGATCAATCGCCCGTACGTCTGGTACACACAGCGACAACAGCAGCAATAGACAAAGTAGAGCCCTCGAGCAAGGCCAATTTTGGCATGTTCTTAGCATGACGGCGGATAAAAGGCTTAGCTTAAGAAGAAATGCAACGGCGAGCACAACGGGGAAAGGAAGTAGATAAAGCCGCCGGCACATCAGGGGGCGCCGGCCACCCGGCGAATGGCATCGCGAGGCAGCCAATTTCTTCCATGGCTAGGCTCAGAGCACGATGGAGACCATGGCGTATTATTAGTCTAAAGCGAATAGTCTTTTCCACGACCTCCGGGCATTCGTACTAGTTTGATTCATCTCGTTGCAACGGACACTGGCCGCTATACCGGATCCGGCTTCGAGAACCGGGAGAAAGGCACCGGAAATGAGAAAAAGCGAGACTGGCTAGTCATTGGCGAGAGACTTTGATAGTATGGCATAACACCAAGCCATATGAAGGCCGAAATGAGAGAAAAGACTTGTCATGCTTTGCGTAGGACCGATCCACTTGAGACGATGGCCGATGCTCCATCCCAAATAAAGCTTGGTACCTCCACGGTGGCTGTGCTGCGGAACAGCCGGATTAGAATAAAATGCTTTTTAAGACCACGACAGTACCCTGTACCTCGATTGTTTAGAGTGCTTCTTGACTGTATATTTCTGGAGAAGGCCCTACATGTTGGCCGTGTACATCCATCCACAAGGGAGGTACAGAATAACATGACCGACAAGCCCTACAGCCGGGCCCTGGGAACCACGTCGCCAATGGGCCAATCAGAAGTAATCCACCAATCAGGCACCAGAGTTCTGCAGGGGAATAGTGCTAGTCCGGTGCTGGTTAGCGTTCTCCTCGGGTTTATGAGACGCCAGGACTCCACGGAGAAGCGAAGATGGCTTTCTTTCATCGCATAACAGTGGAATAAATCAGCCGAGCTGGAAAGCTGGAAGGCGGTTCAAATTCAAGCCTGCCGACATTACCCCGAGAAAAGAAAGCGAATACCATCAGTCCTGAACATGGCGGTAAAGCGAGGGGCAGCATAGGGGTGATTACGCATGCCTGCTGGGGACCAACCAATGAGTCGTCGACAGCGATAAATCGGGTTAGGATGCTGTTTCATATGGCGCCGGTGGTTGAGTTACTGCATTTCATGATGCCTCCAATCGCTTCTCTGTTGTGTTTGGAGGAATCTCGGCCCTTTAGTGCCTGTGATACGACGCCGGTTGAAGCAATTGGGCTCCACTCACGTCCATGGCCTGTTGGCAGAATGTATACAGAGATAAACACGGCGAACGGTATTATGTATGAGATCCAAGCAGCTGGACGCAGATCGTCTCAGGAACCACGATGAACCTCGGAAAACAATTGGATACCGCCACAGCACTAAGCTCGCTCGTTTCGCCCACCTTCCTAGAAAGATGTGACATGTGCGCACTGACCATTGCCGGCTGGCTGTCAGGTTGAAATCGTCGATCACTTGGGATCCGGCGGTACGGTATTGAGCCTGAGGAAACGAGAATCCATACTCTGATACGGCCGCTTGAAGCCAGGATATCATAGTGGAAGACTATGCTCACTGTAGACAACGTTGCACCACACTAAAACGTCATCCCGTCTCCCCGGATAACGTCCATGACGCGAAGAGTGTTCTCGCAAGATGTTCCATGGATACGCTGCCCGGTGCTGTAGTTCCAGATAACCGGGCATGCTACGTCATTTGACGGACGGTCAGATCAAATAGCGGTATCATTTATATATACTGACAAACACGACAGAAACCCGGCTGCCGTCTATCTATTCGTACACCTGGTACGTCTTCTATATCATAACTGTTTTCATGAACCCAATGAGAATGAACATAGACCGTGAAACATCGTAAACAAAGCTAATTAATACAACCCATAACGAAGAAAGTACAAAACGATCAAGTCAAAGTGTAACCACCGTCGACTCTCAGATCGGCACCGGTGACGTACTTGGCAGCATCACTGAGCAAGAAGGTGACAGGACCCATGAGGTCTTCGGGGGCACCCATCTTGCCGGCAGGGATCAGCGAGGTCCACTTCTCTTCCAATTCGGGGTTCTCATCGAGGATCTTGCGTGTTCTGGAGCACAAGTTAGCAACTGAAAACCAACGCATTCAGACAGTGACACTTACAAAGCGGTCATCATGTAACCGGGACTGATACAGTTGACACGGATGTCATATGGAGCCCACTCAACAGCAAAAGACGAGGCAAGATGGCGGACAGCAGCCTTAGCGGCGTTGTAAGGGGCCTGGGGTTGTGGGACGTTGACCACAGCACCGGACATGCTGCCAATCATGACAATGCTGCCGGAGGCCTTGCGCTCGATCAGATGACGGGCAACGCCAGTGGCAAAGAGGTATGATCCATCGACGTTGACAGCCCAGCACTTTTGCATCCGCTCGTGGGGGTAGTGAATGGCATCAAAGTTCTCGGTGAAACCGGCGGAGGTGACGAGGTTGTCAATGCGGCCGTGCTGGGCGATGATGTCTTCCAAGGCCTTGTTAACCGAGTCGGGACTGGAGACATCGGCATAGTGTGCAGTAATCTTGGGTGGTCTTTTCAAGTTAGCATTGGGTTTTCTTCCCGCATAATACAAAACAACAAAAAGACAAACATACAGTTCCAAAGTGGGGTTCTCCTCCTTGAATTGTCTGACCAAGTTGTTGGCCTGGTATTCGGCTTCGTCCTCTATTGGAGTATTGGGTTAGCATTTGCACAACAGGAATCCCAGGTAAACCCAGAAACATACTGTTCAGGTCGACAATGGCCAAATCCGCGCCGGAGGTTAGGATGGCCTGCGACATGACGAGACCCAAACCACGAGCACCGCCTGTGACAATCGTCACCTTCTTCTCGAGCGAGAACTCAGTCAGGGTGCGCTTATAGCGCATGCCCTCGATGGTGGGCGAGTGAGGCATCTGGCTCTCATCGGGATACTCGAAGGTGACGCTCTCATCGGTCCGGGCGTAGGACTCACGGCGACCCCGACTGGCAATCGGGGGGCCATCGGAGTCGACTTGTTGGGGGAAGTTGGCGCGGAGGGAAGACATTTTGGTGGTGATACTTGCTTCGGGAGTGGTGTATAGGATGGATAGGAGTATATCACGGGGACTTGAGAAAGTGTAGGAGGAAAGATGGGACAGAGAGAAAAGGGAGCATAAGTAAGCTGTGGTTCAACAAGCGAATACACCGGGTCTCATCGTCGCGGTGACTCTGGATGGCCCGCAATACATCGCTATGATGTAACGACGACTACAACCTGTCTTTTCTCTTTTTCTTTGGACCAGTGAGAGTGGGATGTGGCTGGCAATGACCGGTTGCTGTTCCTTCGATCGTTGCTACCCTCAATCCGCATTACTTCATGCCATTGAGAAAAGATAAAGAAAGAAACAAATACCGACACAGGTTGCTGATAGGAGCTATGCGTCATACCCTCCAGCTAGTCTCCGAGCTGGAACTGTCTCCAGATCGGTGGCAAGAGATGATGTTATGTATACCCTGACGCTGACACCTCGTCCTTCAGCAACACCTCGAACTGCTTCACCAAGAACCTTCCATACAGCTATCCCGAAGCTCTCGTGCACCGGAGGGACTTGCGGGGGGCGAGCAGGCCGAAAAGTGGAGCTGACCAGCTTTGCGGATGTCGCAGGGTTCACATTAAAGTACGATTTACATATTTATATAGCTGCCAGGTGATAGGTATTTTATATCGATGCTTCCACAGCCCTTGCGTTAACCTGAGACTATCATTCCAGAGATTGGAATCTTAAGCGCAACATTGAGAGGGCCCGGATGTATTATAATATATATATATATATAATACAAATCGGGGGTGCAACACTTTGGACCAACCACTACACAATCACTCCTTAACCTCGACCTTCGCGTACGGGACAAGTTCCACACTTCCAATCAAGCCACTGTCGGTCACTCCTGGCCCGATATACTGGTCCGTCAGGAGCAAAAAGACCGTCTCGTACAAATGCGTTGGGGAGAGCAAAGTTATCGGCAGAAAGATAATCTTATATGTATACCCTGCGAAACCGATGAGTAACTTGCGGACAAGGGATTGGAAGCTACATAAACTTTACCATGCTTTCTCAGGTCATCTGCAGAATAAGGACTAGAGAACGTAACCTCAATAATCGACACCTTGTTGATGGATGAATTGCAGCCGTGCGATATAGTCTAGTACGTCCGCGAAGCCGTGATCCCAGTATGGTTGCTCCCCCGAATACTGTTCGGAGAACAGATAGTTGAAGGCCGTATAGCCGCCGGTGTAGCCTGTCCGTGAAGGATATACTGGTTGACTCTGCCAGCGGTTGCGCGGTCGACAGAAGATAGGAGCGTCGAGAGTGAGGTGCAATATGCTTGACTTAAAATGGCACCCATCTCATTGGAAAATGACCCGCTTGTCTGCAAGACTAGCAGGGCCCATGTATTACCGGCACACATCAATACTTTCCATAAAGGCTAGACTTTCGCATTCAGGAGCGTCAACAAATGGGATATTTGCCGCCATGTCCATGGGAAAGTCATACAGGACCTGGGCCAACAGCTGCAGATTCAAACGTGAGTGCTCCCACTCCGCCAGGGTCTGCAGATACTCGCGGTAGCCGTCGACAAGGGAACTGTGATAGTCATTCACGTATCCTTGACCCTGATCGGGTGTGTCGAGAATACAGTCCAGGGCACTGTCAGCGGGACTTTGCAGTCCGATATTGTTGCTCCGGGAGAGCAACAAAGGCAAGTGTGGTCGGAGAGAATAGTCATGTTTCTGGAAGAATCTGTGTGGTAGAGAGGGTGTCCATGAGATATTGGATTGGATCTCTACGCTATCCTCCCAGAAGTTGATAATCGTCTCTGCACCCGGGAACTGAAGTGATCGACACTATAGGAGCCATTATCGAAGATATTGGTCGACGCCTTACTTGCATACTCGATGTTTTTGGCGTGAGTTCGGACCTGGTAGAAGGCAAACAGTCGATATGTATGATTCCAAGAGGCCAGGTGAAGAGATATCCTTCCGTCTGAGGATACACAGTCGGTCTGGTCCTCCACCGTGTTGTGGTTGAGTGTCAACTGCTGGTATGTCGTGGAGGTCGAGCCCGTGGTGGATGTACTGGACCAGTTCTTGCTCTCCGTCGACAAAACCTCTGCGGAGACTAATGCCACAAGATCCCCAATCTTCCAACCAGGAATATCACAAAGCCAATGTGAAGCAACATCTTTGGCGAGCGCTGAAGCATTAGATTCGACCTGTGTGTGGGAAAGCATCCTTTATAATCGTGGTCCACATTCTATATTTGTGATTAATATTTGGGAGAGCCCCTGAAGGGTTGGGCTTTTTCTGTCCACGTCGTTTCGACTGTTTTCTATCTTGGGGTTTCTAACAGATCGCCATGGGCTGCGTTCCACGATGGTTACCACATAGGGTAATATTGCTATGAATACGCCAACCGTTATCCTCGAGGGATCTACGGAATCCATAGCCGAACAGCAATACTGGCAACCCTTGCATTTTTCACCGGATATTAAGATTGGTCCTGGGGAGATGATCAGGACGAGTACGATAAAATTACTAAATGGAGAAATCAGTTGTGCCGTGTACAGCATGCGTGTCATGCATCGACGTTGAATATTTTAGGGTGATAGTGACTCGTTCGTCAAATGCAACCCCAGAGACCAATTTACCTGAAGCCTCAAGCCTACGATTCAACTCGACATTTCGCCTCACTTCGATTTCGTACTTCCGCTAAGGACGGCTCCCGTCCCCGACATGAAATCCTTTTTCTCGTTTGTCCCATGGCTGCTCATATGCGCTTCCAGCAGCCATGGAAGATACTTGCCTAATTGTGTCGATGAATCTACTTTTTTGACCCAAAATGAGGTCTGTGACGCCCAAGCATTGCCGATGAGCCGCGCGGCAACACTGGTATCTGCCATGAATGTCACTGAAAAGCTGGAAAACCTAATTGAAGTGAGTAAGGGCTCCTCGCGGCTGGGCCTCCCGGCTTATAATTGGTGGAATGAGGACCTGCATGGAGTCAGCTTCTCTATATCCACTGAGAACCCAGTGGGGGAGTACTCGTCTGCCACGTCGTTCGCCACGCCCCTACTCCCTGCTGCTGCCTTTGACGATGAGATGGTATACCAAGTCGCGGATGCCATTGGCACAGAGGCGCGTGCCTTTGGAAACGGCAAGCCGCTCTGGTCTCGACTACTGAACCCCGAACGTCAATCCGTATCGCGATCCACGCTGGGGCCGCGGCTCCGTGTCGAAGATTCTCGCGACATGCAAACACTACGCCGGATATGATCTTGAATCGTGGAATGGATATAGCCGCTATGGATTCCAGGCCAACATCACTCTACATGAGCTCGTCGAATACTACCCCCACCCCCCCGTTTCAGCAATGTGTCCGCGATTCGCAAGTCTCCGCCATTATGTGCTCGGATAAGCTGGTCAACGACACGCCGACCTGTACCAACTCCTACCTAATCGAGCGAATTCTCCGGCAGCATTGGAACTGGACAGCCACGCATCACCATGTGGTCAGCGACTGCGATGTCGTGAACGAGACTGTCGCGCGTACACGCTACAAGCTGACCCTCGCAGAGTTCAGCGCATTGATGTTCAATAGAGGAACCGATCTCATTTGTGCCGGAGACAGTCAGGCCGACGTGTCTGCTATGTATGACCGTTCTCTGTTATCAAAGCAAAGAATGGAAGTGGCATTGCGTCGACGGTACGAAGCCCTGGTATGCGCCGGTTACTTTGGTCCAAATGCTACCGATCCATATGCGTCTTTGGGTTGGTCAGCCGTGAACACAGTTGCCAGCCAGGCCCTGGCGCGTCGGTCAGCCGCGGAGAGCATGGTATTGATCAAGAACGACGGTACACTACCACTTTCGATGCCAAACGACACTAGAACAGCTCTTATCGGCCCCTACGCCAACGCTACCTAGCAACTGCTTGGCAGCTACCTCGGTGTGCCCCCGTACTACCACAGTCCACTTCATTACGCTAAGCAGCTCGGGCTGAAGACCTTCTACGCATCGGGTCCATCGATATCGAACGCCACTACGGGAAATTGAACTGTGCAAATTGAAGCAGCCAGCCAAGCTGATGCGATGTTGTTTTTCGGTGGAAGCGATGTCTCGGCCTCGAGGGAGTTACATAACCGCACGTCGATTGCCTGGCCCTCTGCACAGTGGCGTTGATCGAACGACTCTGTGCTCTGGGAAAACCCTGCGTGGTGATTCAAGTGGGCGATTTGCTTGACGACACTCCTCTTCTCCAGAGCTCGAATTTTTCTGCAATCCTATGGGCGGCATACCCTGGCCAGGATGGTGGACCTGCGATCTTTGATGTCTTGACTGGCCTCGTCCCGCCAGCTGGCCGACTCCCGGTCACTAAGTACCCTGCCCGTTATGTGGACCAAATTCCTATGACCTATATGACTTTGCGGCCTCGCGGGAACCAACCGGGGAGGACGTACTGGTTCGACCAGAACGCAGTGTTGCCCTTCGGATATGGCTTGCACTATAGCAACTTCTCGACGGCATTCTCGCGAAAAAAACATCGCACAATAACTCGCTCTCACAGTCGCCAACCCTCGATATATACCGGATCACGGACTTGCTAGCCGACTGCAACACTTTTTATCTCGATCTGTGCCCGTTGCCACCGATCACAGTGGAGGTGACGAACACAGACCGGAGAACGTCGGATTTCGTCAATTCTTGGCTTTGTGGCCACAACCGTAGTGAACCTCATTAGACAAGCGGTGTACAGTGACAATTTGCGGCCATTCGTATCTCTGGAAAAAGCCTGTGGTGTCCACAGCAGCAGTATCGCAACCGCTCTAGAAGTTAGAATGGATTACTGGCTCTCCAAGCCCCGATCTTCACGTTCTAGATCATTATGATCAGCTTTATAGACTCAGCATTGAGTACAAAGAGAATTGTCTGTGGTTCACATAGAGTAAAGAGGATACCGTAAAGCCTAGCAGGGAAGCTTAACGTCAATCCCATTCACCCGTGGAAGTAAGCTTTGACTTTCGAGTCGTTTCGACTGGCAGCGGGATTTCGACATTTTCCACATAAGGGCCCATAATTTATCTTAGGGAAGCTCGGACTCATTTACTATGGGCTGACTACTGAAACAATAATGACCATCCTCTATATAGTGCAAGTTGCATTGGCATAGCGCACGGCAATGCTCTGAGCCACCATATGTACGCAGCATTTCAAACAGAGCTACGTGCAGAGACCGTGGCGATATAACGGCCAGCAACCTTAAACCCACTTGGCATATGTCTCCATCCTCCCGGAATGGAGTATTCCCGATATACTTTGGACTCATTGATTACTACACACTCGATGGGTCTGCTTTTACAATGGACGACAAACCAGATACAGAAGAACCCATGTACTAGGTTTCGGGAGCTATGAAGAGTAAGTTCTCCGAAGAGATCGTTCCACCACCCGGCTGGAAAAACGTCGGGGACTGCCTTCGAGGTCCTGCCAACCGATCTGTTTTAGTAGTACTCCGAAATAGTCTATTCCATTGTGGGAGAGATTTTCGCGCCAATCAAAGGATTCCCAACTCGATCGGTAATCTGCTGAGTGGCTATCACGCGGATGAAGATGCAAATCATCGAAAGATTCGTCATGGGATCTCGACGCCGAACCGGTTTCGAGGGGCATTGGGTGTCCGGGGGACTAGTAAAATCCGTCATTTCTGTCAACTTTCGACTAAAAATGGTCCCCAAAGAACTATCGTGCGATGTACACTTTAGTCTGTATACAGACTTTGTACTAACCTGTAGAAAGTAACTGAACGCGTCTATTTATAGACACTGCGATCAGTGTCTGGAGACGATACTGGGAGGCTACGCAGACTACCATTTGAAATGCCCGCTACGTACAGAGTAGTATATGGCTGATACCTTAATTGATATGCAGCCGTGCGGGATGGGTGAAAGGACAGGAATTTGTCCTCTCGTGGAAAGCTGCACTGATAGGCATGAGAAGGGAACGTCCGTGGCCCAATGGTTTGCCCGAAGTCTCGAATTGTCAGCAATCCCAATCAATTACGCGGAGGGCTTTCCCCGTTCCGTATTGGCCCAGCAGGGGAACTATGAGATCGTCTCTGCAGGAGACAGCGCTGTTGAAACAATGAGTGAAGCTTAGAAGATAGACCAATGACTGTCACTATAGAGTTTGCCAAGGTCTGCGCCATTTCCTGTCATATTTCCGGCTATTGCTGAGTTGTCGAGTACGAGAATCCACTTTCTATCCACATCTGTAGCGGGTCAATCGATCTTTTTCCGCGCACTCCAAGGATGCTATTGTCCATACCGGTGATGCCTGTGATCTGGATGATCTATCTTTCTCGATCATGGATCAGTATTCGACGCAACTAGGACATAAAATGCCTAGTTATAAGTCGCGCATGAGGGTGCCAGAATGCCGGAACGCTTGTCCTCTTGGCCCCAGCCTCTCTTGGTTCCCCACAACTGGAAGATGTACAGGACATTTGATCCATGGATGCGGCAGACTATGCACGTAGAATTAAGTTAATTTGAATCCATACCCCGTGCACTCTGTCTACGTTCAGCCAGGGGAAGAAATGAAGATTCTTTCACAGCGTATAGGCTTTGCACTCATTGCTTGCTCTTGCTCTTGCTGTGTGTACTTTTAAAATACAAGGGACCTCTATCAATCTCCCCTGCCCTGGTTACTTGTCTTTACATGCCATTCATTTCCTACGTTGTTCTTGCACCTCGTCCGGTCAACTTTTCACAGCACCAGAATGGGGTACAGCTTACACGCCGAACTTTTCGGCTCGTATGCCGTTGGACTAATGGTCATTGCTCTGCGTCTGTTCGTGCGTTGGTCGTCAGGATCCCACAATTTCTACTGGGACGACCTCTGTCTGGGGTCTGTTGTGGTGAGCAAAAGATGATATGTGCCTGTCAGCTTCTATACCGTATAGCTAATTTAGCATTTTTCATTCTGTAGGTTTGGTGGACAATGCACACGGTTTTCCTCTACCTCTTAGGTACGACCGCCAGAATTTTCGATCCCCCGAAACGAACACAGTGAGCGCTAATAATTGGCGAAGATAACACCGGTTCCAACATTGGTCTCAATGAGAAGTCGGCGATGGAAGTCCCAGACAGCGAGGTACACAAACTTCAACAGGGCGGTATATTTGCCTTCCTTGCTTGGATTTCGTACATTTGTCTGGTGTGGTCATTCAAGGGTGTCCTCATGTTTCTTTACAACCGAATCACGTCAGTACCCGTGCGAGTCAAACCCTGTGCCTTACTGATGGGACGACAGAACTGGTTTATGGCAGCATCGCATGACCCTGATCATGGGTGCCTTTTGCGTGTGTACATTCTTGGCCTCTCTGATTTTCGATCTTGCTGTCTGTCATCCAATCCAAAAGAATTGGCAGGTCAAACCGTATGCAGGGGGTAAGCATCTGGTCAGTGTCGTCGGATTTCCATACGCCCAGCTGACAAATACACAGAAAACTGTACTGTCAGGCCACTCAACTATATTGTGATCGAGGTCTTGAACATTGTGTGAGTTTTCACTTGATTTGCAAATGAAGACATGTATCTGACAGACGAACAGAACTGACTTGGGCGTCATGTGTGTCCCATTGCCGCTTATCATCGCGGCCAAAATCCCACCGCTCCAGAAATTCATCTTGGCTCTTCTATTCTCCTCCGGAATATTCGTCATGATTGCCGCTGTCCTTCGTACGTACTACTCGATTTCGAACATCAACAAACTCTCCGTTGCCCTGGGCTGGGCCTCCCGCGAAGCCCTGGTCTCCGTCTTCGTCGTCTGCGCTCCGGGTATAAAGCCGCTCTTTGCAAGATTCAAGTGGTTCCAGTCATTCAAATCCTCGTCCAATGGTTATAGCAGCAACCAGCGCACCGGGCGCAATGGCATGTTCCATTCCAAGTCTGGAAATTTCACCGGTATTAATAGTACCAAGGATGAGGGCAAGCATCCATACGAGCTGGATATTATGAAGAGGAATAAAGATAAGCATGACGACTCGTCGAACGAGAGTCAGGAGAGAATTATTGAGTCTGGGGAGGACGCCAATAGCCCACCCAGAGATCATGCAGGTATTGTGGTCACAACCGAGTATACTTTGGCGCATGACGATAGGGGATCAGCGACATGACCATTGAGTCAGTCTTTATAGCCCTTTTGATTTCCTCGAGAGTGATGTACTATTTCTCTGTATGATAGAACCAGGAACGGTAATATAGTTGACAAGAGTTGTAATGTCAAAGGTCACGTATACTAAGGGGCTGCTACAAAGATGGTCGTAGCGGCCTCCCTGCAACCTCCTCAGATATTTTTATACCTGCTGTTCGTCCCGAGAAAATGCAACCCCCTAGAAAGGTCCCTTCAAGTGAACTGTACCCATGCACCCCCCCTCCACCAAACCCTGCGACCTCGCCTGCGGCATACAAATTCGGGAAACGCGATCCATCCGGCCGGAGTACATTAGCATGCAGGTCCGTTTCAAGCCCTCCCAAAGTCTTCCGTGTCAGGAGGTTCAGACGCACGGCGATGAAGGGACCGTGATGCGGATCTGCAAGTTTATGAGGTTTCATCACTCGACCAAGTCGATCCGGCAAGTAATTACGTCCATTCCGGATAAGCATCAGCTGAGCATCTTTGGTGTATTTGTTGTCGATTTGGATATCCCGGAGATGAATTTCGCGTTTAATCTGCTCAACGTCGAGGACAGGTCCGCCCTGCTCTTTGCCGAGCCTGTTCATTCCAGCCACCAGTTCGGGAATAGTAGGTTCGATCACAAAGTCTACTCCTTCATCCATGAATGCTTGCACAGGACCAGGTGGCGATGAGCTGAGGATTCGTCGGAGTGTCATGAGGAGACTCTTGTTGGTCACGTCTGGGTTCTGTTCCGAGCCAGAAAGAGCAAACTCTTTGCCGATGATACTCTTATTGAGTATGAACCAGGTATAGTCATATCCAGTGCCACAGATGTGTTTTAAAGTCGCCAGAGTATCGCATCCAGGGTAAAGCATTGGTGGTAGGCGTTTCCCGGTGGCATTGAGCCACAATGAGGAGGGCCCAGGGATAATCCTGATTCCATGCTCCGGCCAGATGGGGTCCCAATTTTTCAATCCTTCGGTATAATGCCACATACGGTCGCTATTGATCACACTGGCCCCTGCTCCTTGGGCAATTCCAATCATGCGGCCGTCTACGTATGCAGGAACGCCGATGACGAAGCTCGATGGTGGATGCGGACCAAGTCGATCCAGAGGCCAGTTCTTCTTGACCATGTCAACGTTGGCACCAATGCCCCCGCTAGTGACGAGGACGCTGCTACCGTACAATTCAAAGGCATCAACACTTTTCCGACTGCTCGCGACCCCACGCGCAGTGTTAGACGGCTCGAGCACTTGACCTCGGACGCCAATAGCCGCACCGGTGCTCTCATCGACAACGATCCCATCGACTTGGTGTCTGAATTTAAACTCAACCAGTCCTCTCTCTGCCGCAGCTCGGACTGGCTTCTCGAATGCCTCCAGAACTGCTGGACCCGTGCCCCATGCTAGATGAAATCTGGGAACCTATACATGCCGTAAGCTCACCATGTACGTTCACCAAGGGTGGCGGGATATATACTCACGGAATTTCCGTGTCCTCCTGCGCGTCCATCGCCTCGCTCGGCCCATCCAACACTGGCGAACCTCAGCCCCAGCGACTTGACATAGCGTTCCAGGTGATCGGTCGCGAAATCGACGAATGCCTCGGCCCATTTCTTGGGCCAGAAGTCGCAGTTACGGTCGAAACGCGCAGTGCTCAACCAGTCTTGCATTGCCAGTTCGCGACTATCTTTGACACCCAGACGGCGCTGCTCAGCCGAGTTTACACAGAACAAACCTCCAAGGGACCAAAATGCTTGTCCACCGAGGTTCGCTTCATTCTCTTGGTCCACAATAACCGTCCGGACGTCGCGTTTGGAGAGCTCAAAGGCCGCAACAAGGCCCGCCAGTCCACCGCCGACAATGATAACAGGATGATCGTTTGGTGTCATTTTCAGCTTCCGATATTGTTCATCGAAATCCCCTTGTTAAAGATGCCGGAGGGTGGTCGATAGATAAGGTGTTCGATCCGGGTGGGGGTGGAATAGTTACCTCGGTCCATATCCGTGTAAGGGCGGTGGATTGATAGGAATTGGCAAATCAGACCATCAACGCACGATCAAGCTGCCAGCTCAGTCCGGATAAGTACAGGAGACCAAATGTATAACAAAACGCCATTTGGCTCTAATATATATGTGTGTATCTAGTTGTCACCTCGAATGAGAAGAGATGCTACACTCAGCTCCGACAAAGACACCGAGCTTCTTCTTCAAGTTATCCAGTTGGTAGCGAAGGAGAAGGAGAGAATTATCTGATGATAAGAGGTAAAGTGCATTTTGAGACGGTTAGTCGTATGCTATGTTGATCTGCCGGCTAACGAGAATGTCACGAGTATCATGGCCCTGGAAAATCAGTTTCCTGCTGTCATCGTCGCTTAACTGGCTGTTTCTTCTCGTGCCATGGCCGTCTTGAACCTCGGACAGCGTAGTTGTGAAGTTATTACCGCTCTTTCCGTTCTGAGATAACTCGTACGAGGAGGCGAGTTTGGAAGGACCGCCTCGGGATCGGCTGCCGTACCCGGGTTTTCGGATAGTGTGATCAAGCAGACTGCGGAATAGCGGACGTAATGTTGAGACGTTGCCGACAATCATGCCGACGGCGTTCTCCGCAAATCCCCAGATGACCACATTAGATACGGCGAAGAGATAATCGGTTTGGTTGGTCAGATTGACGGTGTATTTGAGTCGGACACATGCTGAGACAGACGCCCTGATGTGTTTTAGTATGTCAGCCCTGGGACATAATAGCAATATCAATGACAGCTACGTACAGTATACCGAGACTCATCAGTCCGACGATAGATACCTTAGCAGCATGGTTAAGCTTGACGTGCCAGAGCAAGGGAATTGGCCTAGTCGAAGTCAGTCTCGACGGTTATTCAGAAGGTCTACCGATAACTTGGTACGAACATTAAGGCTGTAATCCAGTCCGTGGCAATGTTTACAGCAGTAGTAGCGTAGTAGGCATCCGTCAAAACGTGAGCAGGTTGGCAGTGTCCTCCTTTTTCAAGAAGGCTCGTGTCCCAGGCGGCCCTGTGAGGCTGATAAGTATCGAGACAGACGTTCGTTTGATTGCAGGACCATACTCAATCGGTATACAGTTGACAAGAATGAAAATGAGCGCAATTACGTTCATGATCGTGAACAAGGCGATTACGGCGTACTGAGTGTAAACATACATCTTGCGTCCTTCGGCGACTCGGATCAGCATCCAACTGATGCTGAGCTTGATCGGAATGATGGCGGCGCAGTAACCAACTTCGAAGATGAGAAAGAACTAGGCGTTGGTTAGTGCTAGGTTGGTTGGCGAAGTGACTGATGTGAAACCTTTTGACCCCCAGCCTGATACTTGACGTTCTCAGGCTGTTGCAACCGCCAATTATGAATGCCGATACCATTGAATGCGCCCCCAAGGCAGCCCGCCACGAGTACGCAGAACGGTACCTGTTTCATGATAGCTGTCAGCTGCACTATGTCCCAGACATTGACAAATGACACATACCAATGCCGCAGTCATGATCCAATCTTCCGCTCCCCACGACTTTCTGCTTATTCTACAATACATCCGCATTCCGTAGGTTATAAGGGCGAGTATAGTCAACGTGATGACACTGCCGGCCAGATTTGGCGCATCGTCGGCGATTATGGCCATGGTTTCCACGATGAACCAAGGGGTCGTTTCGTACTGTATGCGAAAGGTGAGTGGTAGGTGACTGGGCCACAGATTGAAGGCCGGCGCAGTGATTTTAATACATGACCACTTCAGCGGTGGTGATAGGCGATTTCCCGTGCAGTGGATACTCATTTAAAACCCCAATGTAAGGTCCACTGCGATTCGGCTCTGCGATGCGGAAATCGGCAACTAAGCTATATATGTAATACTTGGCGTTTGAAATCTCTTCACGACCCATCATTGAACGCCGATCCTATGTCGAGCCTTTCCCTAAGAAGTCTAGAAAAGGCGAATATTACCCATACGGAGTACTCAGTACGCAATGTTGCCACTAGTGGTGGTTCGCTACCGGCTCAATTAGCCCTGTACTCAGCAAATCCATCGTCTCCTCGATGTTAGCCAAGGCTATCTTGGCGAACCATTATTGTTCCATACCCCAACTCCCAAGAAAAAAAAAAAGAAAAAAAAAAAAAAAAAATACAGTAAGAAGATCATGATCTGGACAAATACGAAATAACACCGGAGATGATAATCGAGATTGTTCAAGGTAATTCTCTAAATATGGCACAAGTCTCCGCTCTCGTCGTGATAGTCCGTCGTGGACATTAGTCAAGCGTAGAATACGGAGATTAGCATAATTTGGCGTTTAATTGACGGGCCGGGTTTCGGCTCTTAAGGCTAAGGCGAATTAAGATTAGTACATCTTCGAGACCCGTTCAGACCTCAGGATCAGCACTGTATGTTGGATTCGAGTGGGTTTTGAGGCGTAGGATCAAGGAGAAGAGTCGGAATGCACTCCGTAGAGGATTGCAACTGGTACTTTCTTTTTCATTTTATCGCTAGTATGTCAGTAGTACATGGTCGATAACCGTCTACTCGGTAGTCGATGGGGACGTGCAGATATTCTGGGCCACTCTACTCCGTACTGCAGCCCCTTAATTAACTAGCACAACTGTTGAATCAGTTCCCCCGCCAATGGAGCAGGGGAATGACACATCTCCAGTGCAATCAACCTGTACCACCAAACATGTTCGCTTGACTATCTGCTGCGCTATCTCGAGAGTCGGGTGGACGCTGTGCCTGTGGCAGATCCCTGAATCATTGTGGATATTTTGGATGGTGACTGAGAAACAAGACTGGGGCACCATACTGTAGTTCATCTCAGCCCCGCGGTTGCTATCATTACCGAGAGTGTTGCAAAAGAAGCCGTTTCCTTCACTCCATTGGTGCTCGCAATTGAATCGTGAAGACGCTGTAGCTGCATGGTCAACGGGCGAGGGACTCACAATCGGTATTAGAGACGGCGACAGTGCACGACTCAAGAGCAAACTGGAATGACGGCGTGTCAGTAAAAGCAGATGGGACCGGGTCAATTGCACTTGGATCTCGACTTCTATCTGATCTCCGATCGACTATGAAGCAGTGGTAATTTACCCCGCTTGACATGCTTTGGTTCTCCAGCTCTGGGCCGAAGACTCCAACTGTTATGGAGACGCTGAGCTTCTTCAACCACATCGCATAGCACTGTGAGGCGTGTTTCCATCCGATAAACATGTGCGGAACTATAGCCGATTGGCTAGATCGCTTGGAACACCGAGAAGGGAATAGGCTCTTTACCACAGGCAAAAAACTTCATGGACTTTTTTGTCCCTGGGCGACACCTAAGAGGCGCGGCCAATAATAAACACACTTTCAGATTTGCTCTATACCTGGCCACGCAGACTCGACAATGACGGGTCAGTCAAGTGATGTTATGGGCAATCGGCCAAGGAGGCGGGACGGGTGTACGGAATGCCGGCGAAAAAAAGTCAAGGTAAATCGTTTTTTTTTTTTTTTTGGCCTGAATGATTAGATGTCGGCACTAATCAGAAATCCGTAGTGCGACCTTAGAAGGCCGGTATGCACGCGTTGCACTCGGTATCCTCGGGGATGTGTATATGATCTTCGAGTCGTCAGCCAAGCACCCAGTGCAAGGCAGAATCAAATAGCGGTAGATCCGTCTCGAGGATCTACCGGCCTAAATAGGCAGTCTGGTGTTAAGCATACCTACCAACCATCCGATAACCTGTCGCCATGGTTGTCATCCAGAGACTCCAGATTCTATATGCACATCTTTAGTACCGAGACCGCGAGTCGGCTCTTCCCTGCAGCCCCAGAGACTTTTCTCCGAAGCATGATTAGCGCCGCGTTAGACACTCCGCATCTCCTTTACGCACTGTTAGCCGCATCATGTAGCCACCACAGTCGCTTGGTTCGGGACACCAGCCCAGGGTCCTCGACAGCGTGTCTGAAGTTCACGAACCAGGCAATATCCCACTTGAATTTAGCTCTTTCCAATACTCAAGATGTTCTAAGACCTGAAACTATCACTACGGCAATGGTGCTCTGTACGAATGATGTTTGCAATGGAAATATGCAAACGTGGAGAACTCATCTTTTTGGGGTATTGCAACTGTTGAATACATTCCTGGGTACTTGTTCTTCATACATAGATGACCCCTATGTACAGTGTCTGATGAAGTGGTTTACAACCATGGATATCATGGCGGGCTTGTCAGCACATCGTTCAAGTTGCATTCACGACCCTACAAGTGGGCCATTGTATCAGCTTCCATATACCAATACAGAACAGGTGGATGGTATTTGCGGTTACTCTTTGGAATTGGTTCCGATATTGTCCCCGATTATCACGATTGAGTTCCGAGGTTGACTCGAGAGCGGTCACCGGAACAGAACTGTTACAGTCGATAATGCGGGAGGCCGTTGCTCTCGAGACAGAGATTCATTTGCTCATTGGAAAGACGGGTGCGGACACTACATCCGAAAGCACCGGTGACTGTATCCCCGAGCTAACGCATGCGCATTTTGCTTTCGTTTATGCCGCGTTGCTCCACCTCCGACGGCGTGTCCAAATGCTTCCAAAGGACCACATCGATGTCCGGAAAGCTGTCCAGAGTGCTCTTGAGGCCGTACTGCGAATCCCGCCATCTTCTCCCACGAATATCATAATTTTGTGGCCAATATTTAGTATCGGTTGCGAATCTGATCTTCCTGGGGAACGCGCCATTATTCAAGACCGAATGGCGAATATGGAACGAATTGGTATGGGAAATTTTACTCGGGCCCGACGGTTGCTCAAGACATACTGGGAATCCGATTCATGTCTACCTTGGAGCGTCTACTTTGCACAGATTGGTTTGGATTTGGTCTTATTTTGAAAAGGACGATACAGAGTACAAAAAGCGGATCTCGATGGTCATCCAGAACCGTGGTCATTACGCGACAGGTAGCTTTTCGTACTCATTGCGCATGAATAGCCGCAACGCTTGCAATCCATCCAACAACGTCTCGGGCTCTTGCACATAGCCAATTCGCACGTATCCTCGAAAGTCGATTCCACCACCGAAGCACTGGCTCCCTGGTACCAGCATGACCCCGAATTGCTCCTGGAGACGCTGGCAAAATACAACATCGTTGATCGGCCTGCCGTCTCTGTTGACAAATTTGACGAATGCCGTTGTACCCGCTAGTGGACGTGTCCAGCTCACAGCCCATGTAAACTCCGATGCGAATGCATCGACGGCTTCCAGGTTCTGGTTGGCCAGCTGCAGATTACGCTGGAGGAGATTGTCCACACATGGCTTCGAAAGGGCATAAGTTGCCACGCGAGCGTCGATTTGGCCGACGGAAATGAGGGTATAATCGCGCGCAGAGGCACAAGCCTCAATGATATCGGTACTTCTCGAAGTGATCCAACCTAAACGAATACCGGCCAAGCTGAATGCCTTGGACATTGAGCCGGTGGCGATTACTTTTTCATAACCGAAGTTGAGAATAGATGGCTGAGGTTCATGTTGGTTCGGGCCGAGGGAATGAAAAAGCGGGCGATAGACCTCGTCGCAATGAATGACGATATCTCGTTGCCGTGCGATGTCGACTAGTTCTTGTAGGAAGTGACGATGTAGTATAGCGCCAGTAGGGTTCTGGGGGTTGCTTCATCGCGGTCAGAGATTTATGAACATTCACGCCTGTTGGATGTCGGTAAATAACACTTACTTGATAATGATTATCTTTGTATTCGGTTTGATCATCTCCCGCAGTGCGTTGAGGTCCAGTTGCCAGTTGCTTTCATCCGAAGAGCGCCACAGACTCACTTCAGCTCCCAGAGACTCGGGGACAGAATAGAGCTGTTGGTACGTAGGGTAGTGGCATATGACATGATCACCAGGACCGACAATAGTGTATAGCGAGAGAAAATTTGCCTGGATCGCTCCGTTCGTAACAAGGACGTGGTCGGGAAGAACTAGGTCGACTGGGTCGGAGTGGTCGGCTGAATAAAGATTTGCGATGTTCGATCGTAGGGCCCTTGATCCCCGAATCGCGCCGTATACCTGCTTCTGAGCAAAGTCGACCAATTCTGTTTCTTGGGCAGAGAGTGTCAACAGGTCGTTAAGAGAAATCGAGGCGCAGCATGTCTCGGCGAGGTTGTATTTGGCGTCAGTTTCGTAGCGGTCCATCCACTATTAAAGTCAATACGGTTTGTATTCATAACGGCGAAGAATACTTACCTGCTCAACAGCGAAACCGTCAATTTGAACCATTATGCTCGTTTCTGTCCATACACGGTCACAGAGAATTATTGATAGATATCCACAGAGAAGCAACACTGGTGGTGTCGCTTACTTATCTGATTTTCTTCCCAACCAGGACACGGAGCGAGGAGGTTGGCAAAGGAATAGGGCTCGTGGTCTGATTGGTCGAATCGCATTTATTTCCTAATTCGGAAAGAGGAGGCCACAACCCCAATCCGCCACAGAGCGTGAATAGCGCGGAATCTTATGATATGCTGGCAGTACGTCTACGTAATTCGATTATTATGGACAGGACCAAGCTTAATGTGTGTACATTCGTATCATTACTCACTTCTCGAAAGTGGCATTCTCACGTAACATTCGAAGCACAAACCCAAGCCTTTTTACACCCTCCGCCAACCTTTCTTCAGCCTCCCACATGAAACACAGTCTTATATGCTGTTGTCTATCTTCTTGTGGAGTTGTACCCGGCACAGTAAACAGACCTTCTTTACCTAGGACGAGATTGTAGTGGTCCAGCGCAACTTTGCATACTTGAGCAGCATTGAATGGGACGGGCAGTTCAATCCAGACATAGTATCCACCAATTACTGAATAGTGCTCAGAGCCAGCAAGGAACGTGACGCCAAGTGGAACCAGATGTTCGTTTATTGCGGATGTCATCAGAGCATACCGACGTGAACCAGCTGGGATGATGGTATCGGCAATGTGTCGTTGAAGGGATTTGTCTTCAAGTATTTCGTTAACGAAAGTCGACATTAGCTGTGACGGGGAGCCGCCAGACCGGGTAGAGCCACTGTAGTGAGGGTTAGTTAGGGAATATTACAAATTGAACGGGTCAGATAATAATACGTTTGAGAAAGTCCATAAACGAGATCGCCAGTCCCTTCAGCCCAGCCCACTCGACAGCCAGCACCAATTATTTTGCTAAACGAGCCGTTGCTCACCACATTTCCGAACCGATCTCTTGGGCCACGGTTGAGAAACCTATCAATGTCCACGAGGCGCGGTAAGCTGGATTGGGCTAAGCTGTTGTTGAATTCTGGATATGGCAAAAAATCATAAACATCGTCGCATACGATGAGAGCGTCATATTTGCGAGCAATCTTAACCAGTGACTCGCGTCGCGAAATTGACATTGTTTTGTTGGATGGATTCGAGAATGTCGGGACACAGTATATAACGTGCCGATATGACTTCCTATGCGGTTTGGGAGATTTTATATTCTCCTTCGTTGAATCATTAGAGTTATTCAGTACCATCTAGACGTGAGACGTACATGTCCGGTATCCTCATTGTCTGCGGGTAGTTTCTTTTCAAACGCTTCAAGAGCGAGAGCGAGAGCATTAACATCCAACCCCTCTTCGTCTTCTGGTATTTCCCCAAGCCGCTGATAGAAACCGGCATCTTCAAAGATTTGAAAGACGAGGTGATATGTCGGGTTTGCAAGCCATACGTGTTTCGTTTGAATCGGGTCTGTGAACACCTGCAAAATGCACGCCAAATTTTGACTGGCACCGCCGGTGATGCATATACGGTTCGAATCAATAGGCTGCACGGGGGCATAAAAGTCGGTAAGCCACCTGGCGATATTTTCTCTCAGCGGAAGGTATCCTTCATCGGGTCCGTAGCCGTATCCTTCAGCCGAAACGACTGGATCAGACAGGGCGTCTACCGCAGCTTTCTTCAGACGCTCCGTTGGCAGGAGGTCTGCTGAAGGCCAGCCGCGAAATAGATTGACTTGATCCGATCGAGACATCACAAAGGCGAGAAATATGAATTGTCGTCCTATTGCAATCGTAACCTTGGACAACAAGGGAAAATATGTCGTTTTGGAAATTTGGCCAATTCGCCGAATCTCGCCTCAACGAGCTGACCAATTATATCCTTTGTTTACCATCTCGGGAAATATAGGCGATCCAGCCAATGTTTGATCTCAAAGGGTACATTCACTCTATTGACCAAGGGTGAGGGATTAATGCTCGCCTATAAAACATCCCCTCTAGTAACTGCGGGACATACTGGCCTAGAGTGGCACAGCGAAGCCGCAAAATCCGCGCCGAGTCCGCAATGGCGCGGCTTCGGATGGAAGTTGAGAAAGTCCGCAGCGGCTGCGGATTCGGGAGTCATATGATAAGAACGAATCGAACTTATCTTCGGGCCACCCAAAAGTCACATGACTAGCGGCGTTTGGGTGGCCCGAAGTCTGAGAATTATGTAATATAGCCTCAACCAATGAAAGCTTTTCATTTTGAACCACTTTTTCTCCACCCAAAATCCACAATAATTTTCTGCTTTTGCTTCATTCTACAGTATTACTTTCCAAGTACTTACAATGGCAAAGTTCCTGGAAAACAGTAAATGGTACCAGGCATACAAGGACCTGGCCTCTCAGGGCAAGATTTGATTGGACCTTCCCGAAGTCACGTGACCGACCATCAAGTTTTGCAGACCACAGAAAAACGCCTATTTACGCGTCTCATTCGATTCAGCGGGGCCTATAGGCCATATAGCCCAAGATGGAATCCCCAGATCCCAGTGACGGCGGAGGAATCTACGCGTCAAGCCCCCCGGAGACCTCCGGGGACCCCGCGAACCTCCCCCAAGAGCCCAGGACAGCGACGACCAGGGACCACCCCATGGAACTAGGGCAGAATACCAGTAAAGAGCACCAAGAACCCTTAGAGAAGCCAAAGCAGGCACCCTGGACATCAGTGACCCGGGCCAAAGGGGGCAGTGGTATACCCAAGCGGACACAACCGCGCCGCGCAGCAGCCCCCCAGAGCACAGAGCAATCAATGCGGAAGTGGACCAGCGTGCTAGCAGAAGACCTCAAATCAAGCCTAGAGGAGCAACTCCATGGAACTATACAAGCGCAGGAACCATCTCTCGCGGCCCAAACCCACCCCTACATTTGGGGGTTTTCCTGGTCGATTTTTATATCTCTTTATAGATCTATTCGCACACATCAATTTCTCAAGTTTTGACCCCCTACTTCTTCCTCTTTATTGAGTGGCGGTCCCACGAAATCCTCATTCACTGAAAGAAATTTTCGTGTTCTCCGCCCGCCCATAGGGGTGCCCATACAGACCACTAGTGCACTCCGCCATTCACTGGTGGCTGCCTTAGGCATCACCGCTGCCATCCTGCCTGGCAGACAGTGGTTTCTTGGTCCCTGCATGGTAGTCCTATTGATGAAGGATTAGCCCTACCCTGGAAAGAAGATTGGTTGGCTCCAGTCTACCCTGCTAGGGATATCTACATCTGAATTCTTAGGTCTGCTTGAAGAAGCTTTGGAAAACCACCTAGCACAGTAGTCAGGGTGAAATCCCAGAGCTCTGCTAGGTCCCTGTCCATCATAGCTTTCCAGAACTCTATAATAGCCTAGGGTGAATCCCAGTGTGGGACCAGGGGTTAGGGGGCTGGCTGCATATGCACACCTTAGCAGTTATTCCAGGCATTATTCTGCAAAAACAATAAAAAGTGCCTTTCAGTTTACCATTTCTCTTGAAAAAGTGGTGAGATTTTTTCCTGGGTTTTACTCCCCCAAAAACAGGAATTTCAGGATTGCACTGTAGAATTCACTTTCTCTTTGTCAATCTTGGGTGGGTTTGATTGAGGGGTGAGCTATTCTCCCAAGGCTAAGTGAGCTGGCTACTAGTGAATTCATTCACCAGGCTAGAGCTCTAGTTCTTGGTATAAGAAGGATAGGGAACTCATTAATCCTACTTCTCAAGGTGTGACTGGTTTCTGCAAAGCTCCCTGCAAAAGCTTGCTTTTGGTTTAGTGATTCCCTTGAAAAATCACTATCTATCAGATAGCCCTATCTGCATAGATTACTTGGATCCTGCCTGTTTTTCTTTGTCATCTTCTTCAGTTGGGAGTTACCTGCATAAACTCTGTTCTTTACTCATACATCTATTTCTCTAGTTTTGGGTTACCTTTTAAACCCTACCTTTTTGAGAGGTTTTTGGCCAAAAATCTAGAAAGAGGAGGAACACCATACTCACTTTTCACTACTTGCACTCACTGGAATCTTCAATTTGTGTCATTTATCACCTGGATCACCATGTTGGATTTCCATAGGGAATCACCCCCAGGAACTCCAACTCTAGGGCTAGGAGAAACCATGTCCATCTCTGGAGACTCTGAGCTAGAGCTTGATGAAGTGGACCAACATCTAGAGTTTAGGAAAACTCATCAACAAGAGTTCCAGATTGCATGGATGAATAAACTAGTTCAGGCTAGGCTAGCCCTAAATGAGGCTATCAGTCTGGGTGGCTCCCAGGATCCAAGAGGAGCAGTACTGCATGATGTTACTTGCACTCTTAATGACATGCTTCATGCTCAAGCTGAAGGGTTTGAATACCTTCCTAGGGCCAAAAAGGGGACCCCTGACTCCCCAGTCATCCATCAACTTCATGAAGATATGAAGAGCATTCACCAAAAGCTGGATTCCTTGATGAATCAGGATAGAAAGAAAGTGCCAGATGTTCCTGCATCTACCTATACCAAGGTTGCTCAGGCCTCTATGGATCATACAGTCTCATCCCAGGCTCATCAGCCAAGTCCAAAGGTGGTCATTCCAGTGAGAAAGGATCTAAATCTCCAGGAATTCACTGCTATGGAGAGTGAGCCAAAAGATAGTCCTATAAAGCCTGAACCTAGGCCTTGGACTACAGTCCAGTCAAAAAAGAGGCATCAGAAGCAAACTGCTAGAATCTCTAGAGATAGAAGATTGATTCTCACTGTGCCTTTGGAATTCCTAGACACTTTCAACCCTAAATATCTGAGAGACTCCATTAATGATGATGATGATGATGATGTCTTCCATTTTATAGAGCATTTTCCAGTCTAAGACTATGCATGCTCTACCCACCCCCTTGGGGGTGGGATTTGTGTCTGATGGGGTTTATATACATGGTATTTGCTCTGTCACAGGTCACATGGGAAGCTCTCACTTTGAGATGGTCAAGAATGGGGGACATGATGGGGTAGTGCCTATGAGGCCCTAGCTAGGGCATCAATGGCTGACATATAGATGGCTGGGAAGCCTGCCAGGTGGTAGAAATCCAGAAAGGAGAGGGGGAGAGTTAACAGGGTTAGCAAATAAATCAAAAACAGTGAATCAAAAACAGTAAATCAAGAACAGTGAATCAAAAACAGTGAATCAAAAATAAAAGAAAAACATAGTTAATTCAATACAAATAAACCATTTTTTTTTTTTTTTTTTTTTTTTTTATTCAGTGCCTAGCAGCCACTTTCTAGTAGCTATACCAGTGTTTCTTAAGTACTCTAAGAGCACCTGTTGTCCAGTTTTTGAAGTGAATAAGTGAAACAGAGACTGATCTCTTTTAGGCAAGGTGTGGATAGAGGCCTTTCTCTCATTTTGATAAGCTGGACATTGCAGAATCAGATGATATGGAGTCTGTCTCTGATCCTGCCTGCATCTATTGCATTTATCACTATCATAGTCTGGTAGCCTGACTAGATAGGACTTGAAGTATCCATGCCCTAGCTTTAGCTGCTGGATGGTTGACCATTCCAGCTTTGAGAGTCTGAGAGAGGCTGGTTTCCATGTTGGCTTGGTCTGAAACTGGGTGTAGTGTCTGCCTATAGGAAGAAGGGTCCATTCTCTTTCCCATTCTTCTAGAGTTCTCAGCTTCAGCTCCCTTTTCAGAAAGCTAAATGAGAGGGGGGCTCTAGGGACAGGATCACACCACTCAGCTCCATACTTTGCTGCCTCATCTGCCTTTTCATTGCCATATATGCCTTGGTGGCCAGGTACCCAGTGAATGTGGATTTGGATAGTAAAGTCTTGAAGGATGGTCTGGATCAGCTCCATTATGTGAAGAAACATAGAGCTGTTGACATATCCCTGGAGCCTTTGAAGGGCTGCCTGACTGTCAGAGAAGATCCATACCTCCTGAAGTTGAGGTTGGCTTTGAGTCCTAATCCTATCTAGAGCTAGTTGGATGGCCTGCTGGATGGCATAGAGCTCAGCATCATAGACTTCACATTCCTTTCCAATATTCCAGGCCTGAGCATCCTGAGAAGAGAAGAAGGTGTTGGTAGTGAATAAACCAGAGCCATTGGAGCCTTGGCTGGATTGAGATCCATCTGAATAAATGATGAGTTTATCATCTATCAGAGACTGGGACCATCTAGCAGTCATTTCCTGGTGGTCCTTGGCTGCCTGGTCCTTTGGCTTGTCAGATATGTACAGATCAATCAGCTCTCCCAGCTTTGGCTTCCATGGTGAATGGGCTTTAGTGAATGATTCTGGCCTTCCAATCCAATCCTTATTATGAAGAAGTGAGATGACTCTAATTAGTTGAGATGAATAGTGTCTTCTTCTTCTTCTATCTCTCTCATCTAGACTGGAGTAGTTAGAGCCTGACTGTTGACTTTGTCTGGGGTCTCTTCTCTCTTTTTCAGTCCAATCAAGAGCTGTGGCAGTCTCTGGGTGATATTGACCAGGATTAGGAGTGAATGTATCAGGCAGTCTTTGTTGAATGGCATGACTTTGATTGAAAGACAGGGTCCTGAGTGCATAGGACCTGCATATCCTTCTAAACCTAAGCCTAGGAGGTGGTATAGAAGCTTCAATCTCCATGGCCCTGGATGGAGAGGTCTTGAATGCCCCTAGAATCTTTCTCAAGGCCATATTCTGGAGTTTCTGGTATCTATCCTCCAGATATCTCTGGCCTCTCCACCAGATGGGCACCCCATAATTAGCCACTGAAGTGATGCATGCTATATATAGCTGTCTGACTGCCTGAAAACTCAATCCTCTTTCAGTGTTGGATAGCCTTTCAATCTGGTGAAAGACCCTGGTGGCCTCACACACCTTTCTCTTCACATGCTCATGAAACAGGAGCTTAGGATCTAGATAGATTCCTAGCCACTTTACCAAAGGCTGGGGAAGCACTTCAAAGCCATCAAGCCTGACTCTAATCTCATCTTCATTCACTGTTCTTCTTGAATGAAAGTGGATAAGATCAATCTTTTCCTGGTCAAATTTAATAAACTGTCTTTCTCCTTTGTTGAATAGCCACTGAGCCACTTTCTCTAAGACCTGACAGTTGTACTTTAGGTCTCTAGAGTGGATGACTAGAGCAATGTCATCAATGTAGCTTAGGAATCTGACTTGAGAAAGTAGACTTTTTAACTCTGAATCCTCATTGTCCTCCTCTTCAAAAAGGAACCTGATGTAGATGAGAAAGAGAATAGGGGAAATAGGTGAGCCCTGAGGAATGCCAACAGAGATAGGGGTTTCTTCAGTACTATCCCCATCAAAGGCCAGCTGAATGCTTCTATCAGAAAGGAAGCTCTGAATCCATTGAATTAGAGCAAAAGGAAGTCCTAGTCTAAAGCAGACTCTGAGCAGTTGATTGATAGAGACATGATCAAAGGCACCTTTTAACATCTACAAAAAGAGCAGAGGTGTGCTTCCTATTCTTCTTTGCAGTCTGGATATCATGTACTAGGGATAGGACAGCATCTATTGCAGACTTCTGTCTTCTACCCCCCATTTGATCATGATACAGCAACTTAGATCCTGGGAGTTCTGCTAGATGAGCTAGTCTTCTAGCTAGGATCTTCTCAGAGACCTTGCCCAGGCAGTTAAGGAGTGAAATAATCCTGTATGCCTTTGGCCTTGAATAGTCTCTCTTTGCTGAGGCTGCCTTCTTCAATACAACTCCTTTTGCTGTTTTCCAGCACCTAGGATGGTAGCCATGCCAGATAAGTGATTCATAGAGCCTATGAAATCTATGAGGTAGATTCAAGTAAGCCTTTTGAATGATCTTAAAGGATATCCCATCTGGACCAGGTGCTTTCTGGATTGAGCTGGTGAATATTGCCTCCTTTACTTCACTCATCACTACCTTTGGCCATTCCCATTCACCAGCCTGGTAAGATGACCAGTCAACTGGCTCAGAGTCAGGGGGTTTTTGAAAAAGAGTAGTGAATAAAGCATGAGCCTTGTCAGTGAATGCAACTGCAGTAGCATCTGGATTGGCATGATCCTGATACTTTAAGATAGGAAGTCTTTGGACCTGTCTTTGCTTTGTATAGCTAAAGGCCTTGAAGATCTCTTTATCTTGAGCATTTTCTAGGAAGCTATTCCAGCAGCTAGTTTTAGCTGTTTTGATTTCCTGGAAATATGTATTCCTTTGGGTAAGAAAACTCTGATAGTCTTGAGAATCTTGAGACTGTTTCCATCTTCTTTTTGCATTTCCCAGGCTTTTTCTCAGGGAGGTAAGCTCTTCACTCCACCAAGCTTTGGATCTAGAGCAAGGTCTCTTTCTTGGGATGCTTTTCTCTGCTGCTTTCTGGATGTTCATCTGCAGTTGACTGGCTTCATCCTCTAGATCCTCCAACTGGGGTTCAGGATTGGGGTTGACCCTAGACTTGTCTAGGTCTAACAGGACCCTACTGAATTGCTCCCAATCAGCCTTCTCTAGATTGTAGGGTGAATAGGCAAGTGGGTTCTCTATCAACCCCCCTAGAGGGATAGAATAGAGCAGGATTTCATGATCAGACCCAGAGATAATCATAGGATCTATCTCCCACTGCAGCTGCCTTTGATTCAATCCCTGAGAAATAAAGACTAAGTCAATGATTGATTGGTTCACCATACCCTCTCTATAGAAGGTGGATTTGTCTGGTTCATTAAGAAGTTCAAAGCCATATTGAATGAGCCAGGCTACCAAGGCATCAGCCCTTGTAGGAGAGGAGATCTGAGAGTTCCACCAAGAATGATGAGCATTAAAATCCCCTCCTATAATGGTGTTTTTAGAGGGGGTAAAGGATGTGAGAGCTCTATCAACTGTCCATTCATTCACTTCTTCTTGGAGTGACTGCTCATTATAGAAATTAATAAGCTGCAGATCTGGAATATCTGAGCCTAGTATATCTAGAACAAGCATGTCACTATCTGCACAAAGATCACTTCTAGTGCAAAATTGAAACCTGGATAGCTTTCTATGAAAGATAGCCACCCTAGGCCTGACATCTACCCTGTCTGGTAGAATGGTGGTGTATGATGGGTGAGAAATAGTGAATGAATTATCTGAGGCTATCCATGGCTCCTGGAGTAGGACAAAGTCATATTTTAACTCTATCCCTATCTCAAGACAGGTAACCATGGCATGTTGATTTCTAGCCACATTATTCTGAAGGAATTGGATTTCACAAGATTGGGTGTCTAACATATATCCAACTGGCCATCAAGATCATCATCCTGTTGATGAGAAGTGGGATGTATACTCTGATGATTTTGATAGAATGGCCTTGATCTGGGTTGAACCCTACTCCATTCTGGACAGTCCTTTGAGATGGCTGGATGGGATTGATTGCAGTTGGCACATCTAGGTCTAGTATGTGGGCATGCTCTACCCTTTACTTGACATATAGAGCATTCATGGTCTGGGCTCAGATGATCTTTAGCACAGATCCCACATCTAGCCTCCTTCTTGCAGTGACTACTGGTATGACCAAAGCCCTGACACTTCTCACATTGAATGAACTTATCAAAGAATCTCTCAATCCTGCACTCTTCACCAGCAATATGCAACTTTAGGCCTTGTACTGCAGTGTCTGCCATGGCCATAGTCTCAAGGTGGATGACTATAGAGGTATGAAGTTTGTCTTGTCTAGCCTCTTCACTCTATCCTATGGGGGTCGGCGAAGTCACGGTGACTGGAGTTAGGGTTCCCGTCTTAACTATGGGCGGGAA